GACGTTTTTATGACTTTTGTATGCCTTTATTATACTATGTACGTTTTTATGATTTTTCAATGGCCTTACTATACTGTGACTTTTTATGAACTTTTTATTGCCTTATTATATTATGGACGTTTTTTTATGACTTTTTATGCCTTGCCTATACTATGATGTTTTAATTTGCCTACTATACTATGACATTTTTTAGTGCTTTTTAATGTCTTACTATACTATGACGTTATAACTTTTCATGCTGCTATTACTATGATGTTTTATGGCCTTACTTATACTATGACATTTTTATGGCTTTTTATGCCTTATTATACTATGACGTTTTAATGACTTTTTTATGCCTTACTATACTATGACGTATTTATGACTTTTTTATGCCTTAATATACTATGACGCTTTTTTATGACTTTTTATTGCCTTATTATACTATGATGTTTTTATGCTTTACTATACTATGACGTTTTTATGACTTTTTATGTCTTGCTATACTATGACATTTTTATGACTTTTTATGCCCTATTATTACTATGACGTTTTTTTGACTTTTATGCTTTATTATACTATGACGTTTTTATGACTTTTTATGCCTTGCTATACTATGATGTTTTATGCTTTACTAAAATATGACATTTTTATATCTTTTTTGTGCCTTTATTATATATGAACTTTTTTTATGACATTTTATGCCTTGCTATACTATGATGTTTTATGCCTTATTATACTAGACATTTTTATGACTTTTTAATGCCTTGCTATACTATGATGTTTTTTATGACTTTTTATGCCTTGCTATACTATGATGTTTTATGCCTCACTATACTATGACGTTTTTATGACTTTTTAATGCCTTGCTACTATGATGTTTTATGCCTTACTATACTATAACGTTTTTATGACTTTAATGCCTTTGCTATACTATGATGTTTTATGCCTTACTATACTATGCCGTTTTTATGACTTTTTATGCCTTATTATACTATGACATTTTTATGACTTTTTATGCCTTGATTTACTATGATGTTTTATGCCTTACTATAACTAATGACGTTGTTATGATTTTTTATGCCTTATTATACTATGACGGTTTTATGACTTTTTATGCCTTACTATACTATGACGTTTTTATGACTTTTTGATGCCTTATTATAATATGACGTTTTTATGACTTTTTATGCTTGCTATACTATGATATGTTTTATGCCTTACTATACTATGACATTTTTTATGACTTTTTATGCCCTTACTATAAAACTATGACGCTTTTATAACTTTTTGTGCCTCATTATACTATGATGTTTTAATGCTTTACTATACTATGACGTTTTTTATGACTTTTTTATGCCTTTGCTATACAATGATGTTTTATGCCTTACTAATACTATGACATTTTATGCCTTTTTATGGCCTTATTATACTATGACGTTTTTATGACTTTTTATGCTTGCTATTACTATGATGTTTTATGCCTTACTATACTATGACATTTTTATGCCTTTTTATGTCTTACTATACTTATGACGTTTTTATAACTTTTCATGCCTTGCTATAACTATGATGTGTTTATGCCTTACTATTACTATGACATTTATGACTTTTTATGCCTTATTATACTATGACATTTTTTAATGACTTTTTATGCCTTGCTATACTATGATGTTTTATTGCCTTAATATACTATGACGTTTTTATGACTTTTTATGCCTTATTATACTATGACGTTTTATTGCTTTTATGCCTTACTATACTATGACGTTGTTTATGACTTTTTATGCTTTACTATACTATGACGTTTTAATGACTTTTTTATGCCTTATTATACTATGACGTTTTTATGATTTTTATGCTTTACCTATCTAGACGTTTCTATGACTTTTTATGAACTTTTTTATGACTTTTTATGCCTTACTATAGTATGACATTTTTATGCCTCTTATGCCTTACTATACTTTGATGTTTTCATGTCTTATTATACTATGACCTTTTATGACATTTTCATGTTTCATTATAGTGAGACAATTTTATCACGTTTTAGGCCTTACTATATTACTATTATTACTCTGATTATTATTTTTTTTCTCATGCCTACCTTTAGTACAATGTTTTTGTTCCTTACTCCACTATCACGCTTTCATGACTTTTAATGCCGTATTGTAGTATGATGTTTTAATCACTTTTTATTCTTTACTATACAATGTCATTCTAATTCTAATTCATTCGACTTTTTAACCTTACCATACTACAATGTTTTCATTCGTCACTATAATATGACGTTTTCATACCTTACTATATTAAGAAGTTTTATGACTTTTTATGTCTTACTATACTATCACACTTTTATGCCTTGCTATACTATGATTTTTTTTATGCGCGCTACCGAAGTGTGTGTATACGAAATACCGTGAATAATTGTAATGTGAGCCGTTTTTGTGTAGATATGTATAACCAAAGAGTTATATGTTCGTTTAATAACGTGTGGAGTGTGAGTCTCTTCTCACGTCATAAAAAAACTCCCCTTGAGATGTACCATCTCGTTTTTGATTGGGTCCCAACATATAACATAATCCCTACATAACAAAAGAGGAGTGACAAAACAAATAAAGAATAGAACTACAGTTATCAATACAGTAATGTAAAGACAGACAGAAGACAATCAAACAAAAAATAAATACAAAAATAAGAACAAAACAGCAAAAAAAGCAAAAACACAGACAAACCACATACATTAATTACATTGACGACGTTACAACCACAAGGTGGCCAAAGTGGCCAATACTAGGTAAACAATAGAGTGTGAGTGGATCACCAACTATAATCATATATACACATCAGGTATAAACATAAGGTATAGACACAAGGTATAAACAGTAGGTATAAATAGTGACAGCTTTATTGATAACAAGAGCAGTTCATCTCAAAGTAAGAAGACAAGGCACGTTTAAAAATACCAAGTGATGAAATGGATCTAATATCAACAGTTAAAGTATTCCAATCTGTTGGGGCTTTAAACATAAACGTTCTTTTACCAATTGTTTTCTTAGCACAAGGGACATAGAAATAGAGCAGAGTAGAGTGCCTTACTTGATAATTTGATGTAAAAGGTACAAGATACTGTTGTAAATAAGGAGGATAATTGAAATGAATACATTTAAATATAAGTTGAAGCCAGTGAATGTGTCTTCTTACATTTAGAGATGGCCATTTAAGTGCATCATACATTGTGTAGTGATGAGTGATAAAAGGACAATCAAGGACAAATCTACAGAGACTATTATATGCTGTGTTAATCAAAACAAGGTCTGATTTTTGATGCGTTTTGATAGACAACATCACCATAATCAAGAATTGAAAGTATAAGTTGAGAGGCAAGTTTCTTATTGTGTGTAAAGCAATTTTGAGATCGATGTAACACATTGATTCTAAAGTTGACTTTACGTAAGACATGATTAATGTGTTATTTGAATGAAAGTTCAGAATCAAGCCATACACCAAGATATTTAATATTATCAACTTTATGCAGTTAGTTTCCTTAATGTTAATTCAGATCTTGTATGCAAATAAACTGTTTGGTTGAGCCAATCTCTTTGTCTTGGAGGGGTGGCGCCGCTGTTGCGTCCCTTCCAATGTTGAGACCAAACTTACACCCTTGGTATCCCGTATACAAGTGGAGTCACATGGGTGAGAAATCCAATTTAAGATAGCAGTGTTAAGTGCAGGAGTAGATTAAACCAAAGGGGGTAGGGTCAGCTTGAGCAGTTGCACTAATGACATTAGTTCTTTTAGAGAATGAAGATATCTCTGTCAGAACAAAGGTAATAAATGAATGTCGGTGTAAACTTTGGCATGGATTTTAGGACTGTCTCTGCATTTGTTTCTTTTATCTTTATTCTCTGCGTTTAGTGGTATAAAACACTGGTTCACTTGTCTTATCTCCTTCTATTATTCCTATGTAAAACATACAGATATAAAGAGAGAAATTTCTACAAAAGTTAAGACATTCCCTCTGAGCTTGTACCATTCAATTTTACAGTTTCTTGTATTCCAACAGAAAACATTCAAGCTCTCCTGTCACTGGGGAGAGGAACGCAACAGAAGAGCTGGAGCTAGAGAGAGAGAGACTAAAGGGATTATCATGCGTCAGTTCAAGAGAATGTCTCTCATCCCATTGCCGGCCATCATCAAAGGGAGACCAGTGTTTCTCCACAGGGAAACACAGGATTAGTTTCTGTTACTGTTTCGAAACCAAGACGGCTGCCTGTTCTACTTTCCAGAGGACAACTTCCACTTTAACTTCTCATTAAGACTTCAAGGATTCAGGAATTCAAACTGGCTATTCTCGGTTCTGCTGCCATGATTATTCAATGTGACGGACGAGGCTTTTGATTCCTTTGTGAAGACTCAGTGTGACTTTTCTACAGTTTGTAAATCATGGATACTCTTGGGTTTATCAAACTCAATTCATTAGAAAATGTGACGTTGATAAAGTCATTGAAGAGGAAAACCTGTGACATTTCATTTTTATTCACTATCTTTGGTCACTTCATGAGTATGGAGAAATCATGCCTATAATCAAACCTGTCTTGGTGACATTGTCTTGTGGAGTTCTAAGGAATCTTTAAGTCTATGGTTAAGTGAGATGATGTATTTGACAATGACAGATGGCTGGCAATGATCTTATGCCTGGCCTGTGATCTCTGGTGACTCTTGTCTCTTGGGAAACCCGACAGAGACAAAAACGGATATAGAAGTCAAGAACCTGACAGGATTCAATCTTCCGTCAAGTAGGATGAGACACTGTATTGTGGCGGGCCAGTGGACATAAACTCTAGGTCCTCCTAGAGTTGTGCTGGCACCCCACAAGGATTTTAAAAAAGTGTGTGGGGCAGGGTAGGGTTTAAATGGTGTTAATAACAGAGGAACAAGCTGAAGGTTCAAAGGTTAAAGAGAATGGAGTGGCGGGACGAGATGGACTCAGCGAGACTGAGTTTAGGACCAGTAAAGTGGCGATGGATACACCTGTCATGTCCTTCTCTACGGTTGACGAAGATGGGTGTGAAGTATCAGAGGAGGATGATCATAAGGACGCTGAAGTTGATTACACACGGAACTATTGGGAAGACGAGGATGATATCTACCAAGAGTTCGAGGAGTTGGACTTTGAGGCCCTGCCGGATCACTCGGACACGCGTAGCATCGCCTCGGACGATTCTTTCTATCCCCTCGATAGTTCTGTCGCCTCTCAAATGTACCGTTCCCCGAGCCCTGAGAGCCCCGAGCCCATCTCCTTCTTCAAGGCCTGCTGCGAGAACAACGCCATCATCGTCAAGATTATGATCAGACAAGGAGTCACTGAAGAGGAAGTGAGGGAGACAGATAGGAACAGAAGAGTAGGTGGCTCAATGCATTTTAATGAAATGTTTGACTTTCAGGTAGCAGGACCAGAAAAGTCTACACAATCCCAGTGTTTAACATTGGAAGCTTCAGTTTGCTCACAGTGGTTATAACATTTGAAAATACATGATGATCCATGAGCATCATCCTCAAAGGATTGTACCAGTGTTTCATAAGTTTTGGTTATACAAATCATGTACATTTAGCAGTCTGTTGACCGTTTACCAATGAATTCTGAGGGTTTTCAGGTTTTTAGAACTACTTTTTACCACTTTACAGATAGCCACTGAGTTCCATTAATTTACCAATGTTACTGTAATCTAATAATAATCTAGTTATCTAGTTTAAATCCAAATGGATCTTAATAGGCTGCACTGGTTTACTTTAAAACAATATCACTTTGGCAAAAATTCATTATGATAGATTAAACAACTAAAGCAAGTTTGGAGTCAGACAGTTGATTTTCATATGAATGGAAACCACTGATATTTACTCTCTAGTTCTTGCACAGCAGAAAGTCTTATTGGCTGGAGAGTCAGATCAAAACATCTGACTGTGAAAAAACAAAGGACAAATTTATTAACAAACTTGAGATCCTTTGAAAGTCAATTGAACCAAACAATGCTCCAGGATTGTTTGTATTACAGTTACAATGGATTTAAAAAAATCTGAAGCAACATAACGTGGTTTGCAAAATATTAAACAGTAATTAATAAAATTAAGTAAACATGCAGTCACTGCTACGGTCCTTTGAAGTGCTTAGTGTGGTTAGAGTCAATGTACAGCTGTGTACCTGGTGTGGACTTGCAGCATTAGGGCAACAACAACTATGTGAGTCAGAGATCAAAGAACAACAAAGCAAAAAAATCATTATGTCTAGGATGTAAAACTTCTATAAAAGTGTCAGTGTTTCTGATACATACTATCCCATAACCGGTCACTTTAAGTGTAATAACTAAGATGTGTTCTGGTATGTAACGTAACAGTACAATGAAGCACAAACAACACTTTGACCCTGGGTGAACCCGGCAGTTTTTCTCACTGTCTCATCAGGTTTTACGTTCAGGCTAGCTAATCCCGGTGCAGCTCCATTGATAGTCAAATCTAGAAGGCGGGTTCAGAGCAGTTGGTTAAAGCTCCAGTGACAGATGGGGAGTGTAAACTGCACAGTGACAATGTCAACAAGCAGCTTGTCATCAGGGCTCAGCTTTTAAAAGGCTCCCTAAGACACTGACCTGAGCACTGGCTAAAAGAGATACTGTATGCTAATAGAGCTGAGACAGACAGAGGGATTGTCCTGGAATAGTTTGACAGTAATGTTTTTCAGGACACTCAGGACACCTGGTGACATATGTAGCATATGCTGCCATGTTCTGTGTCATGACATGAGGTTGTTTGCTACTGAGATATTGAGATGTTTAAATGGCTTTCAGTGGTTGTTTCTATGAGAACATGACTCTGCTGAGCTAAATGAAGGACCACCCTCTTGAGTGTTGGGTCCCTGTGGGAAAACCTCTCATTGATTCAGAGCACTGCTGAATCACTTTGCACAGCAGCAGAGCGAAAGAGGAACCGTTAATTGGTAGATGACTGCAAACTGGGTGTCACATTTAATATCTGTTGTATTAGAACCAACTGTGCAGCAGTTATCTTGTGCATCACCAGCTCACACCTTTTAATGGATAAAACTTTGGCATTCATGTTTCTTTATGCTTGTCAATGTTACTGAAAGAAGAAAATTCAGGTGGTAATAGTAAGGAATATGTCATAATGCACAATATATACTAAATAAGCAAAAGAAAGGTTCCACGGTTCATGTATTTATCATTTGACAACATGAGACTCCACCATGAAAAATAGTTTTATTTTTATGACATCTTATTTATTCACTCATTTATTTTGTTGATTTTTTTGTTTTGGTGAGTAGCATAAAGGGAACGACAACTAGCACTTCTCCATGTACAATGTTATAGTAAATATCCAGTCAGAGATGACATAAATAAAGATAAATATTAACATACATAATAATATTGTTAACGTTAAGACTCAGTGTCATATTTTACAAAAAGAGTCAGAAAGAATTAATGAAAAGTCATCATGCAAAGACACACTACACAAAACCATTGTAAATGAGCATTTAATGACATTTTGCAATTTTTCTGCAAAAATGAGTTATCATGCATGAATACAAGTGTACATAGCATACATTACACCTATCCTAGAGAAACTCTCTGGTGGGAAGCAGCTGTCAGTTTGACAGATCAATCAGTTAGACATGCAGTGCATGTCTAACTGATTCAGTCCCTTTCATTACATTTTATTTTGCTATTTTGTCTTATGCTGAAAACGCTTAATTCATTCATCAATGTATAATGCTGGCAAGATAGCTGCTAGCTAATGCTAATGCTAATGGCACTAATGCTTTGCGGCACTGTAAAATAAGTAATAAGATAATTATCAGTGAAGCGAAGCTGTCCAAGTGTTCCTATTAACATGTCACCTCATCAAGATTTATGAAAAAACCTTGTGAAGTATAAACAACAGACAACAAACTTTAACCCAAATTACTCACCGCAGACTCAATTTCCCCCTCTATTAACCATTAACAATCAATGGTGCCAGCAATAGCATGTTTTTCTCTACTCAGGTCCATATACAGATCATATGTTAACATCAGGTGTAAACAGGGTCAGCGTTGGGATGTTAGAGAGCTGTTCACTGTAAATCCAAAATAATAGATAATGTGATTAAACTGGTGGTTTGATGAGAAACTGTCGGATCATCTGACCACTTTGGTTATGTGCTTCATTGGACTTCTTCCCCTCAGCAATGTTGGTGAGAAGACGCTTTCATACCATGACAGGAATTAGAAATAAAACACCTCATTTTGCTTCATGCTGTTGTGTCTTTACCACTGTTATATCAGAGTAATTTACTCTGATATAATAGATATTACCCTTTTAAATCAGAGGAAAATCAACCAGAAGCAGTTTGGACAGTTTAGTGTTTGGTCACTGATCACTCCAGCTGTAAACCCACGTTAAGTCTGAGTTAACAGTCTATTACAGCGTCTCTATCTCTTTGGCACACACTGTGAAAAGCAGCCTCTTACCATGCTCACAGGCGGGATGACCGAGAAGCTTTATTTCTTTTTATGAGAATTTGCCGCAATGATTTTCTCCTGTGGGGAAATATGACCGTGAATCTGTAAAAAAAAAAAAGTTTCACTGTAGCCCAGAGAAACAAAATTACTGGTGTTTTTAAGAGCTAGAATCAATCACAGACATAAGTGGGAAGCCGAAACTCAAGCACTCTTCTGTTTTTGTGTTTCAGTCTGGTCTGATTATGGCGTGTTACCATGGCTACGTGGACGTGGTCATCGCCCTCTCTTACTGCCCATATCTGGATGTCAACTGGCAGGATAATGAGGGCAACACCGCTCTCATTACTGCAGCACAAGCAGGTAAAGCCACCCTGATCACCTTTGTGTATAATTTCAGAACATTTAAACTAGTATTGGTTATTGTAAACAAATGAAACAATCACAGGAAGCCTCCTAAAACAAACAACAAAGGAACATTGTTACCTCTCCACTGTCGCCAGGGTCCAGCAGCACAGGTGTTATCACTTATCCGCCTAATGAGACCTCTCCCTCAGCTGTGAGAGCAAGTACAGACTGTATTTTATTGAGATCATTTAGTTAAAGGAAGCAATCAACAGTTTGGGAAATATGTTTGTTCGCTTTCTTGCTGAGAGTTAGATGAGAGGATTGATACCACTGTCATGTCTGTATGGTAAAAAAAATTAAGATACCACCAGCAACCTGCTAATTTAGCTTAGCATAAAGACTGAAAACGGGGGGAAAGTGCTAGCCTGGCTCTGTCTGAAGGTATGAAAATCCATCCATCAGCACGTCTCAAGCTCATTAATTAACACACAGTATCGTTTCTTTAATCCATATAAAAGGAGCCCATCAGTTCTAAGTTTTTACCGTTCGCCTTCGAAATATAATAATTTTTTACTGATTTTGCTGCATTCTGAGTTTTCAGCAATTGCTTTGGTAAATACAACATTATCACAACTTATAAAACCAATGATTGGAGCAAAAGATAAAAACAAACTAAAATCCAAATTGTTCTTGTACTTTAATCAAAAGAACCTTGTATTCAGAGCGCTAAAACCCTGCAATTGCCATTTGTAGCAGCTGTTTCACAAAAGTATAATCTTGCTTTAAGTGGCATTGCTCTCTTTTCCGATCAAAGTGGAAAGACTTGTACCAGACAAGCTTAAACTTAGACCAGCCTCATACATAAAGAAAAGCATTAAAAAAAATCAATTCACTATTCATGCACTGAGCGAGTGAAATTTCTACATGCCGACGGTGAAAGTACCAACTCAGTCAAAGCAAATGAAATCATCTGTTGCAAGTATCTCTGTGAGTGAGACAGAGCCACGCTGATGTGCTTTGACAGGAGATCCATAAAAAGATTCTGTAGAGATGATGGAGAGTTTACTGAGTTTGAGTCTGAGCCTCCATTTACTACGATGTGGAGCAGTTTCATTGTTATGGCTCCTGATTCAAATCCAGACACAAGGTCTATATGGCCAAATATCAACTGCTACCACTTTAAAGGTCCCATTTTTATACTTTTCCCAAGTGTTGATCCATAAGAAGATTTATTTGTGGATCTAAGTAGCAAAAACCATCTCAATGTTGTTTTACAGACCTGGACGACTGAGACAGACCTTATGTAATGTTCCTCATGATGTAATAAGCTGATGTCTAATCTCTCTCAGCGAGACATGTTGCCCTGCATGCGTTTATGTTTCGTTTTCTCCCACACTACTTTAGATGCATAATTTACAGTGGTAGAATTTTTATTGCAGAGAATTGAGTTTCTAAATTGGTCCAAATTAAAGCTTGGAGCGTTATTATGAGGTCTGGTGCTCGCAAGGATCACTGTTATTTGCTGGCATTGGAGAGTACCATCGTAAGTAATTTCATAACGATGCAGCCACATGTATCAGACATAGCGCCCCGGCCTCTCATCTGCTAACGATGATGAATGGCTCACTGTGGCCTGTGATGAATAGCTGCAGACTACTCTTCATTTTCTGCTTCATTAAAAAAAGTATTGATCCCCTTTCTTGACAAAGTACTCTGCAACACCTCGCGGGGGGGGGGGGCAGGTGACCCAGACTGTGAGTCTACATGACTGCAGAGAAAGTGGTCAACTGGATGAGAGGATAAAACTTTCCCTGACACCTTTTACTAGGTAGAAAGCGGACAACGGTTTGGGACTTAAATCCACTGAGGTCACGTTCTAGTATTAACCATCCCCTTCACCTTTCCATTCAACCATGCTTCTGTTCCTTGCTCTGTCTGCATAATGGATTCCCGTTGCGTGCTAAAATTCTGCATTATGCTCACCTCAAGGAATTTCAGGAGATCAGACTGTTCCATTAGCATTGGATTTAGACGGGATTTACTCGGTCAGGTCAGTCAGGAACTCAGGTTGTGAACGTTGAAGACGCCGTGCTGAATGGTAAAAAGCTGCAGTTTGACTTCACGTTCCATTAGTCACAGTAAAGTTAGGCTACTTATCCAATCCCAGAAGTGGCTGACAAAGTCTGAAATCAGGACGCAACTTCTGCACAGAACTTGGTCTGAGGGTGACAGTGCTAGACATTATTTAGATTCTATTTTTCCAATAGAAAGTTGCTAAATTGCTGTTTACATGAATATTTACATTTGTCCTCGACAGTAAGTGTCGCTGGGGGATATAAAAAACTAATTTGTGCAATAATTTGTGCTCTCAAATTAAGTTTGAACTTGAGTTACTACATTTATTCACTTGCGTTCATAACTTTGCTGTGTATCTGATATTAATCTCTGTTTATGAATTAGTTTGTCATTTGCATGGATTACAAGGGCAAAAAGTAAATATTATTTACATTTTAAACTTTGTTTGAAGGATGATAAAAAAAATAGCAAAATATTGTTTAAAGGTCCCATATTTTACACTCCTCCTGTGTTTGATTTGAAGTTTTGATCCATAAGGAGATGTATCAGTGGGCGACTGTCCTCCTGTAAAAAAACATTATAAACATCGTCTGTGCAGCAGATTATTATGACCCATTTTTACATTTTGTTGTTAGGTGACATCTAGTGGCCTTAGTATATTTTATACATTTTTTTTCTTTATTGTGACATCATAAAGTTACAGAAGTCCTCACAGCAGATTTTAAGGCTCAGTTTCTGAATACAGGCTGTGTGCGTTTCTCTGTGGACTGAGCGCTTTGATACTTTCACAGTATTAATATAGAAGCTAGACCTGCATTAAAACAAACTTTCTATTGCAGGGAAAACCAGGTCATTTTAGGCAGCTGTTCACAATACAGTATTGAGTAACATTTTTAATTAAAATTCATTACACTTACCATTATTAACTCAGTGAACAGTTGGACACTGTGATTGGACTGTCATTGTCGAATCAGATTCACGCGTAAAAACATGGTAAACATTTGTACTTGCATACATACATGCATACTATCATGACAGCAGACATCACAATCCTCTACACTGAAGTTACAAAAACACCGACCGAGAGAGAGAGAAGCCATCACTAACTGCTGATCTAAAGTACCTAGCAGATGAATAACATGACTTCCTGCACCCACCCAGCTCAGACATCCCACACTGTTTCCACTGATCAACCGCTGCGGTGACGCACAGAAAGCTAGCCGGCTAGCTAAAATTACAAACAACCTTAAGACAGGAAATACAACTGCTCACGTCTCAGAGCCATGGCAAACTGTTACTAACATGATCTCCACATACACTGTATAAACAACTAACATGCTGTTTACACACAGTTTTAACAGAAAGACTGGAAGTGTGGTTTAAATGAAGTTATTGTAAGATGATGCAGACTGCTTACCTTGTACCACGAGACAAGAAAACATTAAACAAAGATGGCGTCCCACACCTCAAAACTACGGTGTCCCACAGCGGCCGCATGCATAACTGTATGTGAACATGTATGTACAGTATATGCCCGATAGTATACATGTATGTTCAAGAGCTTAGTATCAATATATTTGTAAGTGAAGTATTCAGTTTTGGCCGAGCAGCTTCTCAGAGAATTGACTAAAACTGAGTGACACACATTGATATCGTGGATAATAGCTGAAGTTATAAAGCTGAAGTGACTTTGAGCCACTAAGTAGAGTTCCTCCTAACAGCTGTCATCCAGATGTTGAATTGGATATAAAGCTTAACATTTGAAACACTCAAATATTACACAAATACGTTGTGGCCTCGCAGCATCAGAGCCCCATTCATTGTTCTAGAGCAAACTGGGATGACGTTGCACATTTTAAGGTTCTCCCTTTGGTTCCTTACTTTAGAGGAGAGTGCAGCACGTTCACAAATACTCACCAGTTTGTTCTGGGGCTCAGGAATAACAAATGTCAATTCTTAAAAAAGGCTGGATTCTCCTCCATGATTATTAGCGCTCCATCCTCAAAGCATCTGGAAAAATAACAGGCCAAAATTATAAATATTAAAGTCACTATTAAGCTAATCATGTAAACTTGAAAATGAAAATGTAATTCCATGATAGCGATGTAATTTTTCACTCGTGTTCTGGGATCGCACTGGTCTTGCCTTGATGAATATGAGCAGAGCAGCAGAAGCAGTCAGCACAACGTTTCCATGGAGAGATGAGAGGAGCTGAGAGAGTGAAAGACGAAGAGAAGAGGAGGGAATGAGAACAGAGTGATCCAGAGTGGATCAAATAAAAATACTATCTGATAATATTACAGTACATGTCCATGATGTTTATCCTATGATGCTATTCTTTAAAGAAATGTAACATCATTAGAGTAAATGTTCTTCTTTTGGCCTCATATTCAGTTCAGAGTCGTGAAGACCTTGTTGTGGATCCGTGTCTGCTCAGTTAGAGCGGCACATATTATTATGGTCTGGATTTAAATGTAGATTTGTCGTCTAAACATTAAATCTTTGCCTCTTTTTATGTGACAGTAGTGAGAATGAGTCGTTGTCAGCATCTGTTGTGTTGTGGTTTCAGAACGATGGAGACAGAACAATTAGATTCAGAATATGATGCAGGTTTAGGAGGATTTCTTTTTTTCTGGGCAACTTTCCTTTTTTCCCAAATGATGTACAAATGTCTTGATACAGTGAACAGCATGAAGCTGCTGTGAACGGGGGAAATAAATTCACCAAATTCTGACCAGTGAGACCGCGACAGGTTGACACTGATTCAAAAGCACACATTACTCATTATTAACAAGCCTTTGGGTCTAAGCAGCTCTGCAAGGCTGTACTCTGGCACAGTGACGCTTTGAGCTGTGTGCTATTGTTAGCATGCTGATTATTGAGTAGGTAACATTTAAAACGTTCACCGTCTTGGCTTAGACCGTCTTAGCCCTCCAGTAGCTGTGGAGATATTTCAGTCTGGACCAAAATGGTGGATTGACCCACTGACCAACATTTCCATTAAGCCGCGCCACTGGCACGGACTCAACATTCACTGCTGAAACCTGCCTCATAGACTTACGTCTGTGAGGACTGGCGAGCTTTACCTGTGCCACTGTACGTAGAAACTCCAGCTTACATAAGACCGACATGTCCATGTTTCTGTCCCGTCTGCAGGTCATATTTTCATCTCTAATTACCTGCTGAACTACTTCCCTGGGCTGGACATCGAGAGGAGGAACTGTCACGGCTTCACGGCTTTGATGAAGGCCGCCATGCAGGGCCGCGCCGAGTGTGTCAGGTCCCTCATGCTGGCTGGTGTGTTTAACTTAAGACACATTTTAGGGTAGAAATCACCTCTGCTGTAGCGAATCAGTGAACAAATGTATAGCAGATTACAGTACAGCTGTAACGTCTCCATGAATCCTCATGCTTCCAGGAAGTGATATTCAGGCACGGGACAACGGCCGCAGAATGACACCCAGGGAGTGGGCTCTCTTCACTGGTCGATACGAGACGGCCTATCTAATGCAGCGGCTGATGTTGAAGCCCTGCGCTGAGCAGTTCTGTGACTCCTTCAGTCGGGAGTGGCCCATGTTGGAGGTTAACACGTTCATTAGTCTACATTCTTAATACTGCTAATGCTTTTATGTCTGTGTGAGAAATTCAAAAACGCAGATTCGAAATATGTTTCCTCTAAACTACAACGTTTGATCTTCTTGTGCAGGAGCTGTTGGCCCAGGCCCAAGAGCGAAAGTCCTGCTGGAGGCGTTTGATCAACCTTCTCTCCTGCTGCCCCTATAGGTTTTACATCAACAACAAGGTAAACCCCGTGGATGATGGCGTTCTTGACCACATGGTCCAGATCACCACCAGTATCTCCAGCCCGTTCATTGCCATAGCTTGCCGCACAGTGTCTCCGGGCAGCCCACCGTGCGTCGGGAAGCGTCGCCAAGCCGTGCAGGAGATTCTGAGGAGGCAACGGGTGGCCGAGCTGAAGCGCCTGGGCCCGGACAGACTCAACAACTACAGGATATTTTTCCAGAACTCGCGGGTTCTCCTCATCCCCAAGGCGAGGGATCGGAGGGCCAGCCTCCAGCCCCAGCTGTTCAGCAACGTGGCCGCAGCGTCCACGGTGGCCATGAGACGAGCCAGTCTCCTGCCGCTCAACATGCTGAGGAGAAGCAGCGTGCGGCCGGGCATCGTGGTGCCCAAAGTGAGGCTCTGCAAAGCCCCGGCTCCAAACTTTACCCCAGAAAAACTCAAGCGGAGCAGTAACCGCAACCAGCTGCAGATACCCAAGTGGGATTACAAGATGAAGAGAATAGAGAGGAGGAAGGAGGAGGAGAGGCAAAGGCTGTTACTTCTGACAAGGAGGAGGTGAGGGGATAAAGGGGAAGAGGACAAAGTAGGACATGGCTTGCTGCATCTTCAAAGAGCTCGGGCGTGTGGAAAACACTCGCATGGCTCTTACAATTCACAGTGGTGAAGTACTTTAAAATGAATGAATGAACTCCAAATTTTCATCTCTTGTTTTCTGGGCTTGCCGACTTTGTTGAATTTGTTGCCTTGTTTCTACTTGAGTTCACACGTTTGTAAAACATCATTTGTGATGCAATGTGGGAGACACAGGATCTCAGGGAGAAGAAATCTACAGAATAGTGTTTATAGCTTCTGCTTGAATGCCGGCAGAAATCATTTTCTCCACGCTGGCAGCTTTAATGTATGTGACAGTGACATGTGGCAAAAAGAGACAAAGGAAAACCAAGTGTAAGGGCTTCAGCATGCTTCAAATGAAGAGCTAGTCAGATGGTCCAGCGCAGTGGACCGCATTAATTATATGAGTTTACAGGCTGCTATAGGCAATTTCTGTGCTAATGACCTTGAATTTGGCACAATATGTATTTTCCCTTGTATGAATATAAATATAAATATCTGGGGTGGGAAAAAGTTTAGTCTAAAAGGCCTGATATAGTTTTAAAAAGTTGCAGACACACTCAGGTTTGTGCTTATACTACATAGGGTGTCTGCATAAACCAGTATGCACACGCTGCTCAACAGTTGGGTGTTTCCAAAGCCAGTCGACCATCCGTCAAGCACTTCAGGTGAAATATACTGAGGCCTTTAACGTGTGGTTATTTGGAAACGGTACTGACACTTTTGCTGCTAATTCTGAACCCTTGAAAAAAAACACTGAACCCTTAGAAAATGTCATCTCCTTAGAAAAACACAAGAACATGGGAGAGGTGGAGATAACTACAACCCTTGTCTCCTACAAATTAAACTGCAACAGCAAATACATTTTGTAGGACACATAATCGTTGGCTGGATTATGTCAGGTGGAGAGCAGCCCTCTTGTTTGGCCTTTATGTCCGTCACTGAAGTTAGCATGCTAACTAGCCCGGGCGGCTCGGCTCGTCACTTTCCGATACCGAGACACTGCTGCGTCCGGTCTGCCCGGGAGGAGCAGTTGCAATTACATTACCTAAAAAAAAACATATTTGCTGTTGCAGTTTGGTAATATATAAATCTCATTTATAACAGACTAATCAGGAGAAGGGTTAAACAGCAATAAGACAGGAGGCCATGCTGAGTTGGGAAAGAATGAGTAAAGGATGTACAAGGTAAAAGGTAAAAGGTGGAAGAAAGTGGGATTTGATAGTAAAATTTGTTAAAAGAGGGATGTCAAACAGGCAGAAATGGGTCTTGAAAAGGCAGGAAGGTGACAACCAGTCGGAGGGATTTTACCAGGATGCAGAGGACAGCTCCGACACGGCCAAATGAAGATTGGTGACTGGCTGCTACGGCGAGATTGCCACAGGAAAGGATCGCTGAGTGCGCAGGAGAAAGCCCAGAAGCCATTTTACACTGACGAATAGTACAACAGGTATTTGCAGGGGATGCAAAGGGAAGCGCTTATTTTACAGCTGAGCTGAGGAGCCAGCTCACACAGGCTTTGTAAGGGCTTTGTGGAGAATTTGAATAGCAGAGCCAAAAATAAACAGCTTAGTGCTAAACTGTGACTTGTTGACTTCCAAAATAATCACATGAGATAGTCCACTGTTTGGTGCTACTGTCGCGTACTATATATATATATATATATATATACGTCTCCTGCTCTGTGAGTACAGGAGGGCCACCGTTAGCTGTTCCTGTGTGACAACATGTGAATTTGAATTTTGCATTGTAATAAATTTCATTATTGTAATGTCAGTTATGAAAAAAAACAAAAAAACATTTGTAGCTGTTATAAGATACAGATATATTTCTAAAAAAAGAAAAAGATCAGTGAGAAAAAGTAACAATTGTGGATCATTTTGTGTGAAAATCTCCATTAAAGATAAATGAGAAAAAACATACTCACTGCAGACATATAAGGTTTTTTGCCCTCTAGTGGCAACCAATAGGAACTGGAACAAAATTGTTGGTTTAGCCGTCCCCTCGGGTCCCATTAACTTTTGAGAAAGTTAACACATCGGTACAGACTACAAGCAAAAAACAAAAACAACAAGAAATAAATTCAAATGAAGATGATTTTTTTTTTTTACTAAATGTCCCTTTAATATTTAATCTGTCAGTAAAATCCAGTTTTGTATCTGGACTGGACCACGGTGGACTGAAGTGGACTGGAGCCTGTTAGTATCTGGGGCGTAATTTCCTCACTTTTCAAAACCCTTGTTCCTGTTCCCCTCACCGTGAAAGCTGCTGCAGCTTAATTTTTCTTACTGAAGTCTCTCTCAACAGCGTCTTCCCACTGTCCAGCTGACAAAATCAATATGAGAACGGAGAGGAGCTGATAAATATACTGATACACTCATCAGAGTTGCCTTCTCTTATTACCGTCCACTCAGAGCCATCAGCTTAATGAGCAGCGGAGACATGCCACACTGCACCTGCAGACAGTGTTCAGGGCTGAAACACTCAACACCTCGGCATGTTTCTCCACATTTAAGAAACTCTCATCTGTATTTTTTTTTTTAAATTATGAATAAAATTATACTAAAAACATGTTTTAATAAGAGAGAGAGAGAGAGTTCCTTACAATAAAGAAACATATACAATATCACCTGTCATCTATATCAGGGAAACTAAACATGGTTTTAAGTATATAACAGTACAGCAGAGGTTAATATAGAATCTTTATTTTCTGTAATCTAATTTATTTGTGACACTAATAACCAATTTCAACATTATTTCTTCAGTGCTGGATTGACTAAAGTGTAACTCTGACTAAAGATACTGATTAAATTATGTTTTTATTCCCCCAAAAATTAGATTTCGCTTTAGGAAGTAAATTAATTTTGAGCGCACACGTAATTGGCAATTGCATTAGACATGTGATTAGATGATGAGGATGATGATAATGAAATGTAAAAGAATGTATATCAAGGGTACAACACAGCTGATAAAACTTTGAAGTGATCAGGGTCGGTAGTAAATACAAAATGATTTACAGAGTTCTGAATCACTGCGAGAATCTCCGACTTGACCTAAAGCCTGGCTGTTGTCAGCAGAGACGTTTGGAGACATCTGTCTTGGGAACCACCGTGACCTGATCCCACCTCTCACTGATAAAAAATCTGAGCCCGTGGTGAGGTGATCTATCTGCAGACAGAGCCGAGCACAACAGGCCTGAGAGACTAAAATGGCTGCCACCCTGACCTACGGTGCAGTTGCTGTAATGACCACCAGGGAGCGCTCATGACCCAATTACACACATGCTCACAGGTATGTACAGGCATGCACACACGCCAACACTCACCTGTGTGCAGTTATCTCTTCTCTTCTTCTCGTCTCAGCTTTCTGATGTGAAACAACACCTTTACATCTACAGTATGTAAGGTGTTGGGGGGGGGGGGTATTTAAAAAGACTTCAAAGAGCTGTAAGAGTCTTTGGACTTGGTCTCTGTCTGGGTTTTTTTTTTTTTTTTTTTAATTAGACGTGTCTCGGTCTCTGTCCCCGGTCCACAGCACCTCTGGCTATCTCTCCCAGCAAACTGGAGAGGCTGTTTGAGCTGTCAGTCAGCTGTCAGTCAGCTGTCAGTCAGCTGTCAGTCAGCTGTCAGCGTGGCCAAATGGGAGCCTTGCGGCAAACACTTTCTGTCGGGCCTCTGTTGCCTCCAAGTTCCCAGGTAAGAGCAGAACACACCGTGTAGATGTCAGCTTCGTTATATTTTAGTAGCATTCCTAAACTGGAACACGACCAGTGCACACATCGTTATTACGAAAAAATGTAGTATAGCAGGGATTGTTTGGACCTGAGCCCGTTCTCTTCACTTTTATGTCTTTATTTGAGTCAGTAGAGACGGGCAGGAAATTAAGGGAGAAGGACGTGTAGAAAATTGTCCCGCCAGCCAGGAGTGGAACCGCGGGCTCGCTGCTCAGGGCATGTGAGGCCATGTGGTATGCGCCCTAACCATTCGGATCAGGTCACTCTGATTCGGTTCACTCTTAAACGTCTGCCCCCCCCTTAAACGGTGCACAGTGCATTTTTGTAAATAGCGCTGAATGTAAACCGCAGTACAAGAAAACCACACAGGGCACCTTTAAGTGGCCTTGACTGCATCTGACTCCCCCAGGAGAGATTTGAAAAATGGTTCCTCCCTGGACCAACGTCCAACAATAACCTTACTTTGACCGAAAACGTGATCGTTCACTGTGATGGATGAACTGTCGGAGGTGAGTTTCAATTCTTGGAGAGGGACTTTGCAAATTGTACCGAAGGAGATGGAGAGCAATGGCTGTGTGGAAAACAGGACGTTTTGGAAAACACACTCAAAAAAATTATTATTTTTTTGACAAGAGAACAAACGACTCCCAAAATCAGAGGCTCTTTGATGGTCTGTTTATATTTTTTGGAGCAGTTGCAATCTGTTTGAGGCAATAGAAAGATTCACAATTCTCTTTTTAAAACACGTTTGGTCTAGCAACAAAAAGGTTACCGATGTTATATCTTCATACAGGTCTTACAGTCAGGTTTTTTCTGCCTAAGGATCACAAGGACATACATAACGTTGTCAGTTTCCAGATGCTTACTAACAAATACAGTACGTCTGTTTTTTCATCCAGTGTTTTCGTGGGGGACAGTTTGCATTATGAGTCGTTTGTCAAGCATCAGAAGATGACCTCTAGGACTTCTAAACAGCAGTGGGTAGGGAGAACCAGGGTCTGTTGTCACATTTTACAATTTAGCCTTTCTCACTTAGAAATATAAAGTAAAAAAAAAAAATGTAAAAAACAAAATCACCATTAAGCTTCAGATTTACTGACAACAAATACTCATGCATTCATGGGTGCAGGTTTTTTTTTTTTTTTTTGCTCTTTCAGCATCATGAGACCGATCGATCAGAACTGGGAGCTTCATGCACGGGAGGAAACAAACCTGTGATTGTTCTGTTGTGTGATTTAAAACGGTCACCTGTGACATTTCTAACACTCGGAATCAGCTGATAATGAGTCGTTGAGAGGGGGGCAAGGGAGGGGGGGGTGAGGGGGGGCAAACATTTTTGTGCACAGTTAAAGTACAGACATGTTGGAAATACTTCTCACGGATGTAGCACCTTTTTTTGGACTTCTTTAGTGACAACGTGGATCCCTGGGCCCTGGTCTACTCTACTCCACATAGCAACAACATTACTACACAAAGTTGACAATTTAGTGTGTTGACCAGAAAATAAAATGTGAACAAAATTCCTACATGTAGCTGTTTTTTTTTTTTGTAGTTTTTTTTTTTACAAGTCTTTTTCCATAATGTTGCTGCTATAAGTGACATCCACATCTGCACATAAAAAGTATATATTTATATTTATATAATATATATCCATAACTCTATTAACAGTTTCGTCTACCATGAAGTTAGAATTGCCACCCATCTCTCAGAAAAGTTTTTTTTTTTTTTTTTGTACTTCAAACATTGATTATTTTACAACACAGAAATCAACTAATTTTGTACAACTTTGGAGGAAGCGAGGTTCAGCCCGGTCACAGTCCCTCCGTGGTGATCTTTTCTCTCTTTTTATTTTATTTTTTAATTTTTTTTAAGTTTTCATTTTTAATTTTTCTCCCCGGTCCTGGTGCAGTTAGACGGGTTTCATCCCAGTAAAACACAGTTTAGAAAAACCAAAGCATTTACAAACTGGCATCGTTAGAACCGCGAGGATGTTCGGCTGAAAGCTTCAGCTGAACTTGGACCCTTTAACACACCCCTAAACCCCCCTCCCCTCCCCATGCCTTCGTCAGCTGAGGGGAAATAACCCTTGTTTGGCACGGTTATATACACAATGAGCACAGTTCACCTGAAGGAACGGCTCGTGGGAACAAAAAGGGGGGATCTGTGGTGTTAATGTGGAAAGATAGCCGCCAAAAAAAAAAGCCAAAGCTAACCAAAGAGTTTGTCACGGAAAAAGGCGGCTCGGCTGTTTTGAGCCTCTCTCTCTCTCCTCAGCTATTTTGGCAGCTGTACCGTCTGAAAACGATCTGTAGGGCAGTAAAAGGAGCACCGTGACCTACCAGAGATGATGCTTCGATAACCAATTCCTATCCAGGGTTTCACATTAGCAACATGTTGACATCTATCTGTAGCTGTGATATGAGTTCTGAAAGTCTGAGTGCAGATACTGTGTGTACTTGTGTGAGTTCGGGGGCGGGGTAGTTAGTGAGGAAGTGAGGTTGACCCAGTGGCGAAAGGCCTGACATGACACAGAAAATAGTGCAATGTACAGTACACAATGCTTCTCCGTAAATGTACAGTGTACATCAAATACTATACAACCAGAATCGAGAATTAAAAAAGTAGAAACACAACGAAAGAAAAAAAATAAACCGTTACAAATGACAAAGTCCAGAAGCGTTCTTTGCCCAGAGGAGGATACATCACGCTGAAGCCATAGAAGAAACAAAAGTTTGTGTGACAGACGTTCTACATGTCCTACAGCTCTGCTTCTTGTGCTTCACATTACTAAAAGCCATGTTGCTATACCACATATATACAGGTTTCTCCCAGGTATTTCTCACACGTTCCACTCACGATCCAAAACCTTTTCCGTCCCTGAGTCCACTGATCCGTTTTTTCTCTTTCATCGTCCTTCTTCATCCCGTTATATTTCCCACTTCTTCTGTCGCGCTTTTTCCCTTTCATTTTCTCTTTCATCACGTTCCGTCGCTTTTACGTTCTGTATCCAGAGGCCGTCAGGTGCATGAGGTCTTTCTGTCTGCTGGACCTTTCTCTAGCAGTTGTTGATCACAAACTAAACACAGAGAGAAAATGTGTCTTGTCGGTTTTGTTGGTGGTGTGCATGCACATGCATGGCCGCTCCTCCGTTTGCATCTGGTTCCTCTTTTGTCCCCTCTCCCCTTCCCCATCAGATGTCTCTGAAAGGAGTGTAATGTCTTAGATTTTCTCCTCATGTCTCCTTTTTTGCGCTCCATCCTCCCCCTCTGTCATCCTGCTACCTATGATGCTACTCAGGAACTACAGGGGAGGATGGGGAGGGAGGGAAATTGTCCTCTTATCTTCGCTCCTCCACCTTTTAAACTACCCCTTCACCGTCCTTTTTTTTCCTTCATCCATTCTCTCCTCCTCCTCCACCCTCGTCTCCCCTTACACCCAGGAGTCTGGTGAGGCTGGATAGTGACTGGTCTCGTAGTTGAGCTCACTGTAGGGCCGCGAGGCTGAGTAGAAGTCTACATAGTTGCCGGTGGACTTGAGGCCCTGCAGGTGCATGTTGAGTTCACCCTGTGGGGGGCGCCCTCCCACGTGAACCTGGTTCTCGTAGAAGGCCTGGTCCTCGTAGTTGCCGGCGTCGGGTGGGGGAGGGTTTTGGAAAGGAGGGTAGGGCTCTGAAGGCAAGCCTTGACAAGAGACCTGTAAAAAGAGCAGAAATCATGATCGAGGCTGAAGTAAGATTGTGATTCCCGTCCATTGGCTGTGATGATCCGTGCTACAAGTAAAATATGTGTAAAAGATTCATAGAAACAAGGAGGATAAACGATTGTCAGAAAGTAATGGGAGGATTACTTATTATTCAGAAGCAAAAGTGAAGAGTTACACCACTCAAATTACTACTTTCTTTACTCAGCTCAAGCAGGCAGAACTACAATTTGTAGATTTATTGACTGTCCAGCAGCTAACGTTAGCATAGCCTTGTTAACTGCTCACAGCTCTCTATAAAGTCCTACCTTCATAAATAACAGTAAGTGACTTCTGAATGTGGGCATACAGGTGGCTAACAGCTAAGAGTACACAACATGTGAATATGTCAACTTTGTAATCACCTGAAGTCACATTTTTCCTCTTTCGGTAAAAGCTAAATGCTTCCCTCAAGCTCCTGCGTCAAGCTAGCACATCCAGGACCGGAGCTAAACTGATAATTAGCCCCCCATCAAAGTTCTGATAGTGAATAACCCCCAAACATCAAAGTAGCAATGTGCTAATTGTATTAGTAACTGTACTGTAATTACTGAATTTAAAAATGTAAACACTTTTTTTTGACACACCACTCTTTGCTAGACAACAGTCAGCTCTAGCTAGCTAGCTAGCTAGCATGACGCATGAAATTCCAATGATAATAGTGGCGGTAATAATGCTAACCTCACTGGAGTTCTGCACTGGCCCAAAATTAAGACCCAAACCAACTTCAGACCTGACTCCACTGAACCAGACTGGTACTGCGACCTTGAGACCTGAACCTCACCCAAACCCTATATATTTGCTTTATTACATCTATTCCTGACCATTAGCTTACAAGCTAAAGCTATTAGCTACTTCCTTTTTCCACTGGGCTTGGAACATCTACTTGCACGACATGACACAAACAGAAGCAGATGACTGGTGCAAATCCAGTTCACACAACTAAACGGTTAGAAGAGCTCTAATCAGACTACACAGAGGTTAGCTCCTGTAGGTAGCATGTGTCCAAGATCATCAACAGGCAGCATGGTTAAAAGCATGGGAACCTTCTCATACTTTAGTAATGCCAGTATTTATGCAGTTTGCCAAACAGATACCATATAGTTGGATATATGCCAGATATTCTTAGTGTATAAAAGGATAAAATTAAATGCCTGCAATGTATAGATAGTGTCATTAGAGCTGAAACAAAGGTTTTCTCAGTCTTCTGTAAGAGAAAAATAAATACCTAGGGTTTTGAACTGTCAGTTGGATAAAACAAGAAGTTTTAATATGTCAACTTCACCTCTGGGAAAGCATTTTTCACATTTTTGGACTAAAAGGTTAAATGATAAATCAAAAAAGGGCAGATTAATAGATAACTGGAGCTGTTCGTGATTTGTTTTCCTCAGAAAATTTGACATAACAATGTGTTTGCAGCCAAACCCATGTCACTCAGCCTCAGCGTCGAAGCCTGAAATTTGCAGCACTTATTTTTGGTGTAGGTCAGTTCAGTACCATTATTCTGTAAGAGTGAGTGATACTTGTGTGTTTCTAAATATAGGTTACTGCCAGACGTGAAGTGTCCTTAACTCAATAAGTTTAGCTTTACAACAAGACGGCTGGCTGACCAGATAGTGGTATCTATCAGTAGTGTCTATTAAATTACTGTGAAACTGCCACGTCTTAACCAGCCTCTGATGGCACTGCCAGATGGGGTGTTATGAAAAGCTTTTACTGGCAACAGTTTAGGACCAAATACCAGACCCAGAGAAAAACCCACTGCAGTATTCCAATAATGTTTAAATGGGGCTCTGTACAGGTTTATAGTTTACAAGTTTATAGTGACCTTTATAGACTTATATTTTTATAGTATCACTATTAAAACCTATACAATTCATATCAGGCCTTTAAGTTTTGTTGTGCTATTTTATCTACATCCAGATGTGCAGCATTCCCTTCAGATATGAGTCATAAAGAGGCAAAAAGAGAGATTCGAAGGAGACGTATTTCCTGTACACACCTAAAACTTCTAAGTTGAAATGTAATCATTAACATGCCTTTGGTGTTTTAATTTCTTTCCTTTGTTTACATCTCCTTATTTTATTCTATGAATAATGCCTTCTTCTGGCAGTTGATGGTTTATCTATATGACAGCTGGGAGTAGTAAATCACATAAAGGAGGGGACTTCTTTGAGGATTAAAACTATGGTATTTCTGCCAGCAGTGCAACAAGAGAACACAACGTTAGCCAGATACAGTTTTGTTTTGTTTTAACAAGCTAACAATGCATAAGACAGGGACGGACTTGTTGTACCTGATTATACTTCAGGTCATCAGTAGGTGACACGTATGCTCCTCTGTGTAGTGTTGAAGACCCACCGGAGATTTGACCTACAGAGACAGTGAGGATCAGATGAACGTGTGCTCTGAACCATTTATTCAGATATTAATGTAAAAGCGCAGGAGTGTGTGTGTGTGTGTGTGTGTGTGTGTGTGTGGGTGTGTGTGTGGGTGGGTGGGGTGCCAATAACAATGAGAATGATGATGCATGATGATTAGTGAGAGGCTCGTCTGCAAGGGAAACCCTCAGAAAACCAACAATAACAACAGCAACAAGATTAAAGCACTGTATTGATCAAAATGTCACATTATAGTGATCTCTATTTATGTTACGAGCTTGGCAAAACTCCTAGTGAGGGACCTCTTTGACCACACTTAATTGATTCTCAGTGGATATTTTTCAGACTTAAATCTTCGAGCACTGACCTACTGAGACGTATTTGGCTGTGTGAGGTTTGTGATATTTCAACTGATTGTTTGTTAAATGAGTAAATTGACTTTTTCTCCAGAATATAGCTTTTACAGTTTGTTCATATCAGTGACAAAAGCTGAACTTTAAACGCACACAGGACATTCTTGTGGAGAAGACTTTCACATCTGTAATCTACATATGAAGCTACCTCACACAGCTGGTTAGCATAGCTTAGCGTAGAGACTGGAAACAGGGGGGGGGTATAGCTAGCCTGACTCTGTCTGAAAAGTAATAAAATCCACCTACTGGCCTCTCTTAAAGCTCATGAATTAACTCGTTATATCCTGGTTGAAACTCATTAGAAGAAAAACTGTGAAAACTGCAAGTTGTAGGTTTTGTTAAGAGGGGGTAACTAGCAGAGTAATTAGCGAGGACACCAGGAAGCTACTGTCCCCCCCAACCAAATACAAAACCTGCAAGAAAACAAATATTCATCAAAATGTTTAACCGTCTATTTAATATTTGTAAAAACCCACACAAAACATCAGTTTCACGCGAGGGTGAGATTTAGTGTCAGACATGCAGTTCAGATTTCCTACTTGTCATGGCGTCCTTCCGGGATGTGTGCTCGCCCTTGTTGCCATGGTAACTGGCATTGCCGGTTGACTCATAGTCTGCCTTCCTCTCCTTCAGCGCCATCATCTCCCTGGGGGAAGCTGGTGCGCTCGCTACACACACACACACACACACGAAATGCCTTTACCCTTCAATCTACCATCAACACATTATCAATACACTTTGGATTCTTGAGGAGGAGACAGGAGCAGGAAGGACAAGCAGTCCTCCTACACTCCTTTCAGAGGGGGGAGGACGGAGTGATTGGAAAATTGTACCTTTCTGAGCAGTTGAGGCTTCACATTTACCTGCCTGGCTCTCGATAAAAGAACAACACTCTTAGGGCTCCACTGCTTTCATTATATCCTCTAACCATCACCCAGGAATGAGTGAAAAACGGGGGCAACCGGGTGCTGTTTGTACTGTGACTCTGTGGGTGTGTGCCATTCTTTACAAATCCTTATCTCTTTTTTCTTTTTTTTTGACTGGGGTGTGATTTCAAAGAGGTAAATACTGAGTCATCCCTCCTCCCCACATCTGCTTTAATCTTGCCTCTGTCTTCTCTTTCTCTTACTGTCTGACTGCGTCTCTCTCTCTCTCTCTCTCTCTCTCCACCTGCACTTACTACATGTACATATTTACGCCGACTTAAACTCCCACTGGCCTATTACGCCCTGTCTGTGTTTGCATTACTCATCCAAAAAATGCATACACCAGCAGTTGGGGATGAAATAAGACACGCTGGACTTAGATCTGGTTTGCCATGTCGGAGGAAACCCGCCCATTGTTTCTGTGCCATATGGTTCTGTAACGTTTTCCTCTAATATTCGACTCATTATCCACAGCCCTTCACATAGAAGCTGCTGGCTCTGATGCGGCCTGTCAAGCCTGTTTGTGCTGCTGCATCTGTGTCTTTGTTTCTCCTCAGTTACCCTGTCCGTTACAGCACAGTCAGCACTGATCCATAGGCTCGTTACTGCTCTGCTAATACCGTCTATTTTAATATCGGCACCTACACGACCAATTATCGTCTGCCTGCCGCTGCGGAAAACAGCTGTTGTAGGAATGCACACGGAGGCTTTTTACACACTTTCTTTAGTATGTGAAAATTTCCTCGGCAGTAAAATTAAACAAACGGCTCGGTGGACCATCTGTGACTGCGTGCACACTTGTAAACTGTGAAACAAAATAAAAAAAAAAAAAGTGAAATCAGCTCCCAAACTACAGCATTTATCACTTTGCCGCTGTCAGCTGACAGACTCATAAATCCAGTTCTGGTGATTTTTGTTGGTGGTCCATTAACCTTTTTAAATTCTCTCACATAAAGTAATTTCAAATTGGTTTGAATTATGTATTAGCGAGCGGCTACAGAGCAATATATCCAATGTAGGCTTTTTAGCCATGATAGCTGTATGAGTGAAATAAACTAACGACGACTGAATGAACTGCCATAAGATTTTGTTCAGACATTCGACAGACATTCAGACATTTGTTTTATCTGGATGGATCGCTATTAAAATTTTGGTAAATTCATGGTTTCAAGATGATAACCAGTGTTATACACTCATAGTCTTACAATTGATGTTATAGCCCCTTTCAGATGTGTGTGAATGTGACTTTTGTGTAAATATCACAACAGCCATCATCTGTATTATTAATGTGACTGTGACAGGAAGCAGAATCTTTCAGTCTGTTCCAAGTTCAACACCTGTACAACAAACGTCTACATACATACACGTCTTTCAGCAGCACGCAGGAAACCTGTTTAGTCAAAACGTTTATGTCCAGCTCATTGAAAGCTGAAATATCTTCACACACTTCATTTTAAAGTGTCTTTCCTCTGGCAGTGAGTAAACAATGAGGGCAAATACTAATCCGCTCGTTGTGCATTTTCTTGTGGATTGCTTTTGCAATTTCACCTGAAACAGTAGCAACAGGTTCTGACTTGATGTTTTATTGTTTTATGTACAAGGGAAGTTTTCCACTGAAGGAAACACAGTAAGATTTTTCAGGCTAATTCTTACATACAGTATCAAGGTCACTCTCTCTACACCCCTGTTCCTGACATGGACAATAGTGGGATCATACAAAGAAATCGTCATCTCTTGTTCCATATTAAAACGTTAAGATTTGTCCAGCTGTGTGTCTGGGAGCTCTCCGGGGAGCAGAGGGAGTAGAATTAAATTATTGTATTTCGTTTGGAAAACTGGTTTAAAGACGTGCAGCTTTAGACACTAATGAGAGCATATGATTTAATTGTTCCCGCCTTTCGGTTTTACTTTAAAACCATCACCGGGAGCAGGTAGAGGAGTTCCTCAGGGACTGAAGTTGTCAACACGATGCTAGGAGCTTTGGTTGTTGACATGAGTTTGTGCTCTTTCTCTCAGAGGCACTTTAAGCCCGCAACATAATCAGCCTAACTGCCACAACTTGGTAGCTGAGTAGGCCCACATGGTGTTAATTAGCTGTAGTTTTCCTGACACCTCTACCTGTTCCTGATGAAGGTTTTAAAGTAAAACTGAAAGCTCAAAAACAGCAAATATCTGAGTAACTCTACTCTCATTTATTGCTTTTATATTTTAAATGTCAGTGGACGTCTCACAGTTTTACAAGGTCCGTGCTGTCAGATTAATGTAAAAGCTACAGCGGCACAAAGTAAAACATGCACACCATGCCTCACTAAGAGCACTGTAATAAATCTATTACATTTTAATCTCTCGTCGTCTCTTAATAAGCCATTAAACATCATGAATGGGCGAGTGTAAAGTTGTTGAAGAGATTCTTCTTGGGTCAATCTGTCTATAAAAAACGACTGGGAAAAAGTGGGTAAAAAAACAACTTTTATAACCACATTAAGTAGCACTCCCTTCCTACACGTTCGATTTTCATTCACGCCAGCCGCATGGATGAAATGATGAACATCCGGTTAAGCAGTTTTCATAACGTCTTGTCATTCACTGCTCGTGCACTGTTGGCAGCAGAAATTCTCCATTAAGTTATAAGAGACTGATTTACTCGGAGAGAAGAAGGGGCGAGCGTCTCTCACACCCAGGATGGTCATTAAGTAAAGCTTCAACAGCAAAATAAGGTTTATGATCCATCACTAATGCACCCAGTGTGAAAACAGAAAAACTTTCTTCTTCCTTTATTTCTTTAAACTTTTCGACTGCCGATTCCTCTCGGTCACCAACGATAAAATATAATATTTCAGGGCGTCGGCATTTAAGTTTATTTTCTAATCCATTAGAGGGCGGGTCAGAACATAATCATATATCAATAAGGGTAATTTAAGAAATCGATTGATAAAGATGCAACTGGAATTTGCTTTGTTACTGTTCAAATGATTTTTTTTTTTTTCATATCACACATCATGTGTCTGCTATTTTGGAAGTCTGTCCAGAACAGAACCTTTGGAACTTCCTGTCAGAACTTTTCAAAATAAAAGCTCGCAATAGGTTGAAATAAAGCATTGCTGCTGCAACAAAACTTTCTTTAGCTTTTATTTTGTATGCAAAATCACTGTGCATTGACTATAATCACTGATGTGACTGTTTGTGTCTGTCATTCTCTCTCAACATGGATAAAAGCATAATAATCATCTTCAGGTGAGGGTCGATTCTCTATTTGGACATTACAGCTCAATGTGGGAGTCAGATTTTCTTTTTGGCCTGCGGGGCGTCAGTCACCGACCACTGATGCAGATCATATGCTACACATGTATGCATTAAAAATTAGTCTATTATCATCGTTGTCTTTGGTTTCACTGGATGTCATTATTGCCCCATCGTCAGTTTCACAAGCTTTTAAACCCAGCCAAGAATTATGCTCATGTGAGCCAACGTCGTTCTTCAGAGTTTTGGCATAGGTTTAGTAAAATTCAAGGATAGTGAACATCAGAGGATATCACCATCAGTCCAGAAATACTGAGGCCTTGCACGGCTCGTATTAGTCAAAGAATAATTTCAGCAATGCAAGGGCGGGAAACTGTTATAGGAGGTAGGGTGCAAGGATTTCACTTGACAGCAGAATTATTTGTCAGTAGCCGCCATTGTGTGAAGGTTAAAGAAGACTTAAGCTGTGGTGGAGAGGTGTTTGTTTGACTGGACTATATCCGATGACAAGAATTATGGAGGACAAAAGGGAAAGACAGGAGAGTGGGAGGTAGACTCACCTGATCGATTGTTAGGTGAGGTCCGTACGGGAGAGATGGACGGAGTACGAGAGGAAGAATAAGGTCGCTGTCTGTCTCTCTCTATCGTGGAGGAAGAGCCGACGAAATGGTACTGAGAATATCCATCCTGAGGGAGAGAGGGAGACGACAGGGACAGGAGAGGAAGAGATGAGAGGCGGTGTTGGGAATAATGCACACTTTATATGCCTCACGACTGTAGCCTCGCTAATTTCCAGCTTCCAGTCCGTCAGTGATATTTACTGAAACATCAACGTGAATGAAATATTCAGTGTTTATCCAGCCGGAGCGCACTCAGCCATGTGGACTTTACCTTTTTGTAGAGGCTGCGGAGGTCTCTGTATTGCCACATGCTGTTCAGGACTTGAGATGCTGCTTTCACCACTTTGGGACTATGTCTAGGAATTCAGCAGAGAGAAAAGAACACATACAGTATAAAGCTTGACCGTCCTTTGTTTTGTGCTTGGGAGCTATAAAAAAAAAAATATCACCATTCGTAATAATGAAGAAACAGATTTGCATAAAGCTACAAACACTAAACCTGCATGTAAGACATCAGCTCACTGTAACCTCCGAAGAGGAAAGACAGCCTTCTTTATCTCCTTAAATATGGCACTTAAATTGTTCTGGGGCCAAATTGCATAATTGCTTGTTTGATTGATTGATTGGCCAATATTTCACTCTGGTGTCCTCCAGGGTTTGACTCAGCTGACTAATGGCTGTGGGTCTAATTGGCTCATATGGCCTTATCAGCGCCAAGGAAATTAAACTTTATTTCTTCAAGTCATTTTGGCGAACGTTATTGTTTTGGATTCTGTGATTGCAAACCCTGCCCTCACAGTGATACAAAGCAGGAAACTTATTCTATCCATGGATTCATATTTTCAGTCTCTACCTCAGAAATTAGTTTCAGTCCACGGTTCTTCATAGACCATGGGCGGAAATAAATGCAATATTTGGATGGAAGTCGAAACCAAATTTGGTATTTGTTATTCAGCCCTACATGTGCAGTAAAAAATGAGTGATGAGGACCTGAACCTGAATTTTTCATATGTCTTTACAATATAAAACATTATACGACTGAAATGTAGCGTATCATTTTTTGTGAAAATAGCTTTTTAAATTCAAGGTAACGACAAAACAGCCCAAAAAAAAACTAGACAGCTAGATGCTAAAGCAACGATGCTAAGTTTACGGGTCTATTTGCAGGTGGTGGTGACTGAGCATCAGCCATCAAGACGTTTTAATCCGCCCTCTGAGCAGCGTTACGTCTTCAGGGCAGACCGGAGGCTACAGTGAGTCGCTATCAGACAGTGACGAGATGGGCCGGGGCTAGCTGGTTAGCGTGCTAACTTCAGTAGAAGAAAAGACGTGATAGAGACAAGAGTTAACGTTGACGTTACTTTCCACCTCTGGAGACAGATGTTGGTGAGTGAAGGGATGAAGTTTGACGCTGAACTCGCAACTTTTCCTCTAAACACCTGTTAATGCTAACGTTAGCTAATGTAGCAATAGCAAAACTTGCAAATAGCTCCTTTACAGCTAGCTGGTGAGAAACTCATGGCTAGAGCTTTTGACTCTAGTGGAATTCATACAATTTGGTGAGGTAAAGTGTAAATTCATTTATTACATTAGTTTTAGTATAAATATCATTATTACAGACAAAAACCGTCCAAAACAGGGACACATTTAATTCCTATGGACTGTAAATCGTAATGCCCCTACTTGAACACCGGCTGGTCAACCCTCCTGCTCTCTCCCCACGTTTACTGTCGACTATTAAGTAAAACAAATGCTAAAATAAAAAGTGTAGGCGTGCTGGTGAACACGCTGTGGGAACACTGGGGAGCTACCTGGCCGAGCTTCGTTTTGACTGTAGTGACTCACAGCTCCGAAACAAGCGGCGCACTGTCACCCTCCTCCTTCCTTCCCTCCGTCCTCACCCCTGTCTCTCTCTCTCTGCTGCATGATTTCTCCACCCTGTCACGACCGCAGCCACGTCCCAGCCTTTTCTTATTCCACAGCCAATTTGCTTACGCGCTCCTCTTGGCCGACTCCACCAATTAGCCTCCATATATTCAGGCCTGAATATCTCTGACTTAAATCCCCACATTTCGCCATGTGTCACACTGCTCTACCGTCTTGCTGTGTGCTAATGAGCGAATAACAAAACGTATCCTTCTTCTACGACAGCATGCCGCCTGACTAGCATTAATATGCAGAGGTGCGCATCTCACAATCAGCGTTAAATACACATTATCTCCAGTCCAGATGTACATTTTGAGCCGTTGTGACTTCGTTTTAAGGACGACGATGCTGATGATTTATAATTGTGATGTTTATTGCGTGTGAGATTTATTCAAAAGTCATTTGTATTGATTATATGTATGATTAGGTCCAATTACAGAGCTTACAATTCTGGTGATTACAGTTTAAATCTATTCTATTTTTGATCCTGGTTCAACTTTGACTGAATTCAGCGACTGCGAATGTACCTGCGGCTTTACATTTTTTTCAGATATCCATTTAAAACTTTTTGTAATGCTTTGTGAATACAACATATTAACATAAGTGTTTCCTAAGGATGGCATCCCATGATTTCTATCTTCCTATAAACCCTCTTCCATCCGTCAACATCCTCCCATTCGGCTTACTTGTCTCCTTTGCTGCGGGCGATGCCGATGAGCTTCTCGATGCCGCCGGCGTCCCTCAGAGCCTTCGTGTTCTCCATGTTCTTGGTGATGACCTCGTGCAGCGCGCAGCAGATAGCCGTGATGGTGTCGTCCGACATGGTCTTCCCCACCAGGCCGCTGTTGTTGGCGCCGCCTCCGCCTCCTCCTCCTCCTCCTCCTCCACCACTGGTGCTGTTGTTGTTGTTGCTGCCTCCGGGCAAACGGTGCACCAGGTCCCTCATGGCGTATTTACCTGTGGGTATGGCAGGGTAGGAAGAGAGCGGAGGTGGGGTGGAAATAATGTAGGTTGAAGGGTTTAGAGATGGAAAGGAGGACAAAGGGTGGAAATGGGAATAAAAATAAAAACTGTTTGTGATGCTAATTGTGAAGCTACAACTGATTCACGCAAAAGGAAAAGACGTGTGACGCTGAACTTGAATTATAGTACAGATTAACTAACAGATACTTTCTGTTGTTATACAGAATATAGTGAAGGTGGGAACGACCGCGGGCTGGTACAAAAACATATGTTCCCATGAGAGATAGTTCAGACATTAACGTGACAGTTCAGGGGGCGTGGGCTTGTGTGAGGCACTTATCTATTGTCAGTGTGTTACCTGCAGTAGATTCATATCAGTGCTCTCTACTGCCATAGATACTTAAAGATCCAAGATAATTTGATGTATGACAATAAATATAAATATAAATTTGGGATGATAGGTTAAAGGAAATTTAATCTACTCTCATTTTAAAAAATAAATAAATAAATAAAAGCCCTGACCGTCTGCCCAGCTGCTGCTCGGGAAGTAAAAACCCCAGCCTGGCTCTGCGGCTGTCAGACAGCTGATGGAGACACGGCCACGTGATCCAACACCAACTGACTACATTTCCCATGACAGCTAAATACTGCTGTGAGGCAATCTTGTCCACTGTGCTCTCTGCCCCTCATTTCGATTGGGTCATCCCTCTGGGGTGGATGGAGGAGAAGGAGCACATCACGGCCCGCTGACAGTTCACGTCCACACTACATGCGTTTCCCTGCCGTAATAATGCTGCTGGTGGACAAAGCACCGACTGCAGATTCTGTCAATTAATATATGACGGCAAACTCGTACTAGATATAATAATAACACTTATATGTTATTATGCACATTATGCTACTTCCCAAACTGTTGAAAAATGGTAATTTACTGCAGCGAGAAACTGTTGGCAGAAATTACTCAACACGTGTTGCAAGACATGATTACATGAATAAACTTTAAACAAGTTTGTGTGGTGAAATCACAACACGCTGTCAAATAAAAATTAAAAACTAGATCAGTGCCTCCGACTAATAAACACTCTCACTCACTTCAACTTTCTTATTGACTTTCTCATTTTCAGCAATAAAAATAAACATAATTTTCTCTCCAGATCATCAAAGCAATTCACACTGATAAACTGGCTTATTACAGTGAGTTATCAAACATAATTTGGCCATGTAAGCAGCTTCATTTAACTATTGCCATACACTCACAGTATTGGCAATATTCACATGATTACAAACATACACGCAGTGAAAGTGAAGCTCTCAATCTGGTTTGGTAACATTGCAGCAGTAAGTCAACAGTTGTCTCACAGCGGACGCGTGCGTGCAGACAGTATTGGTATCTACTGCTGAAAGCTCTGCGGGCTCAGCTGCACAACATGCCCTGTCTCTCTTTACGCAATGTCATCGTGTTAACGCAACGCAAGTGAGGACGGGACAGTGCGTCCTGTCAGAACATACACGCCTGTCCTGTGGCGGAGCGATACAAGACAAGGCATTACAACCTACATACTGCTATACACATGCATGGTTCCATTTTCACACACACACACACACACACACACACAGCTTAGCTCAGAGCTTCGAGCATCAGACAAAGTGGAAGGAGGCATGCGGTTGTTGCTATGGGGACCAACAGAACAGGCACAAAACATTACTTGTCTCCAAAGGAAAATCAAGCGTCAAACGATCAGTCAGAGCGACGCTGCTATCTGCTCTAAGAAGGAAACTATCTGCACACAGAGGACGACCCATTATAAAACCATTTATCTCTTTCTCTTTCATTGCAGACGAATCCACAAAACCCCACTGCCTGCGTGCCGTTCGTAACGGTAATAATCCTCTGCCCAAATGACATTTTAACAGCTGTGTTAAAAAAAAAAAAAAAAAAAAAAAAAAACACTGCTGAATGTGTCCACTTTAACAAGTCTCATATTATGCATTAAAGCAAGTGAGTAATTCTGCAAGTGGGTCAGGATAACTGCTCTTGATTTCAGTGCCATTATCTTCAATTAAGGCAGAATTAAGCACATTACTCCACTAGTCAAGAAAATAACACTCAACAAAATGCTTGAATAAAGTTGATTTGCTTTGGAAATTATGCAATAACCCACTGGAAGGCTATTTCTTCTGTCTTCTTTCTTTTTTCCCCCCAGACTGTGTGCGTGTCTCTTTGTACGACTACAGTCTTTTTTGTTTGCCTGTGAAGTAACTACTCACCGATGAGCTCCTTGTTCCTGATGTCCAGAGCCATGTTTCTGAGCGCGGTGGCCACGGCACACACCACCCGGTCGTTGTCTATCCTCAGCAGCTCCACCAGGATCGGGAGGCCCTTCTCTTTACGCACTGCGGCACGGATATACACCGACCACTGGGGCAGGAGAAAAGTTAGGGACGGAGAGATCAGCGATTTGTTTTGATGTGCTGTTATTCATGCACCTTCCTTTTTTCCTTATCATTGCTGTCCAGATTGATACCCATTTATTGATATTCATTTTCATTCATTTGACCTCAGAAGTCTCAGGATTAAGTCATCAGAAGACATCCTCAGGAAACCATGAAAGTCTGCTTGAAATCTGGTGCTAATAAGTAGCTGTTGAGATAATGAACTGATGGTGGCAGTAGGAAGATTGATCATCCTCTGGGAACCATGACATCATTTCAAATATTTGTGGATACCATACTGTGACACATGATGAACCTTTGTTGTGCGTTTTTGTTGTTATCATGTGAGCTACCTTTGCTGAGGCAGAACATGTGACGTGACTTAAAGCTCTGGAAACAGCAAGTATGATTTCTTTTCGTTCGAATCGACTGATATAGTTTATGTAATGAGAACATTTTTTTATTTCTGATTGTTAAGAGTTTGCCCAAAAGCTTGATACTGTTCACATCCTGACTATCTTCAGATCAAAATCACTGATGCTGCAGTAATGATCTTATGGTTCCCCCGTATAATTCAAGCCATTATCTGTCACACACTGATGAAAATATAAGGCTTTTTATCATATTTTCCTGACTTGAGTCTTTTAGATTTCATAACATAAAAGTGGTGATTTCAGAGAGATGTGTGCACTCACGCTTGAGGAAATTTAAAAGGGGCAGTAGGTGACGTTTTTCTATCCCACAGCACAACATTTTTTTTGCCGCGTGCTGTAATTTCTCCCTCTAAAATACCTTCTGGCACCCACTGGAATTTCATCACACTTCTGCAGATGCCCTTTGGTATCACAATGACACAGCCACAGCACCGAGTCCTTACCTTCCAGCTGCCAGCAGCTAGGTTCTGCAGAGCCCCAGCTGCTCCCTCCAGGGTGTCTGGGTTGGAACACTCAGACAGCAGTGTGAGGTAGGGCTTGACGATGGTGGGGTGCCATAACATCTGGATGCCTTTCGGGGGCTCCGCCAAGTCTGGAAACGGGCCGACGCCGTCCCACTGCGGAAGATGAGACGTGATTCAAGATAGGAAAGCACTTTGAGTTCTGTGTGAGGCGGGGTTTGACAGTGGTGGCGTGCCAGCACGGTCCCCTCAGGCAAGAGCAGGAAGAGGAGAGAGGGAGAAGGTTTACTATTCATGAGCAGCGTATAAATAAGCTGGCATTCATCTATTTGTGCATTTTGTTTCTCTATCTCCTCTGTAATTGAAATCTGACATTTTCTCCTGCATTGATGGTGCAGACACACACACACACACACACTATACATCAATTACAGCTGTGAAAATCTTGGCTCCTGAATACTGGAGATTTCTTAGTCAACCTGCAACGTAATTTATTCATAATTCAGATCAGTGGCACTGAAGAGTGACAACAGTGTGTTGATGAGTTTAGTTACTATCCTGGACCTGGTATAAGATATTTTGTTATAAACATCCCCCTTCCTTTTGGAGATATGAAGAGCACTGCACATTAAAACTAAAATATAACAGAAGATCACTGCTGCTCATCCGGGACTGCAGACTGGAGGTGGCCAATAACTCAGTATTAATTTAATGAACTTTTAAATTAATCATAGATCATAATTAATTAACATTAATTAACATTAATTATTCTTATCAAGCTGGAATTGAGTTATTGAGGTTTTTATTTATATTTTTTTAAAAGTCTGGTTGATTTGAAAATTTTTTTATTTTACACAATTCACACACATTTCCTGATATGTTATAAATTGATGCCAGAAAATATTTATGTGTTTATTTATATGAATAATTAGGCATGAAGCTAGCCTCTGTCTTGCTTGTTTAAGTAAACTATGCAGTGAAACAAGGCTACATTAGTCTGATGTTTTAATTTCCTTATCATACTTACAGTGATAACATTTACTAGCTCTACATGAACATATACTTCTGTATTTCAGCATATTTCAGATTCCTTTACAGGATTCTAGTTCAGCCTGAAACATTAAAACGTCACCAACCCGACGAAGCTAACGTTAGCGTATTTAGCTAGCTAGCTACAGCTGTTAAAGTTAAACTACTGACAAGTTTCAGCTGGAAAAACTGATGGAGGCTGGCTAGAAATCACCATCTGAAATCAAGACCAATTGTTTAAAAAGAAAACACTGAATTTTGAGCCGTAAATCAGCTATTTTTATCGCTGTAAACTGCAAAATGTGTTGCGCAATAATGAAAGGCTAAACAGGAATAGCAACAGGGAGGAGGGGCGGTTAGCAAACAGTCCATAGAGATACATAACCCACCTTTTACACAACATATGACACCATCCAAACAAAGTGGTTTTCCTGCACATAATATCTATTATGGAATATTTATGTTATAGTATTGTATTTTTGTTCAGCTGTACACCTGTCTTCTTTTACACTTTGTTCTGTGCTCTGTCCACAGGTCTGTTCATGTCGTTAACGCTCCCTCTTGTCATTACATAATTTCATCCGACGTTTGTTTAGTATAGAAAAACATATCACCTCCCGTCCTCCTTCCATCTGCAATGACATAATCCCACATGGCATCTGTCGAGGCTCTGCGATATCTCCAACACACTGCATTTAAATTAAATCTCGTTTTTTTGTTCAATCATTGTCTTCCTTTGATTCCCCGTTGGTCTTTGATCTTATTAGTCTACTACTTCCTCTTTTCCCTCTCTTCTCTATCCTCCACTACACCCCAATTTCCCTCTCCTCTCCTCTCCTCTCCTCTAATTACCCCACATTTGATGGAGTTTTGCCCTCTCCAACAAGCTCCCCAATCTCCACTTCATGGTAATCACCCACAGCTGCACTGGAGTGGAGACAGACAGATAGAGGGGTTACGTATTATTATCATAGAGAGGTTATGATTTGTCCTTTTTTATTTTCTGATCCCAGGGTTACTTCTTAGATCCCCCCCCCCCTCTGGTTCTGCCTGGATACAGAAAAGTTTGTTGATAACAAAGGGAAGTTAAAGGCCGGGTTCATCACTAGCATTTTTTTTTTTTTAAATCTCCTTTCTCTGTCTTTGGAAGAAATGAAAGAGAGAGAGAGAAACCCCCCCCCCCCCCCAAAAAAAAACAGCATGCAGGGCTAATGAGCAATTCACCCCGATCCCCCCGGAAGTGTTGGGTTTTCAATCCCCACAGCTTCACTAGAAGTTGTAAAAGACGTCTTCCACTCAACCAGAATGCGATGCTGATTGCTTATTAGCATGACAAGAGGTTAGAGCCTACTCCAAGGAAGCCGCTCGGTTTCTGCCAATTCTTCCAACTAAAGGAGCGCTCATTTTCTTAACTAAAGGCAGGATGAAACTCTGCCTGTTGGCAACAGATGGACACAGCACAGGAAATCCAGGAGTGAAACACTAAATCAGCTCGGTGTTTCCGAGTCTGAGCGCAGGTAGTCATTGTACAGGAAGTGAAAGTCAGTTTAATCTGCAGGTAAAGCCATAATCTCCTGCTGCTTCCACTGCTGTGTAATAAATAACATAAAATCTTGTGCTGATAACTTCGTCACGTCATCAAGCCTTTCTTGATATATGTAATTGTGGGGTGATGGACGTGACCCTAAATAATCCAGGTGGTACGTGAATGTCAGTGGCTCAATATCAAAGAAAACTGCATTCATAAATATTCATTTGAGGCAAGAACCATGGGTGAACTGAGCAAATGTTTTTAAACTGGAAACCTCACAGAGCTCCGTTAAAGGATGAGATACTGAATCTCACATTTAACAAGTGATACCTGCTGTTAGACAAGACAGATAACAGGATGATATGAGTGAAAACACACACTGGGAGGGATAGTGTCTTTGTTAACTTCATAAAATACACACAAGCTAAAATGGTGTTATATACAATATCTATTTATAAATATCAATATGTACTAATGTTCTTATGTTTGAATACGGCAAACGCCTCATACATTATACACTTAGTGAGTAAATGAAGATTTTACGTGGTCATTAAAATCATATTAGATGATATAATGTTGTGAAATGAAAGGGAAAATAAAAAGAGGGAGAGAAATTTTAGTCATTAGTTTTTGTCAATAAAAACTAATGACATTTTTAGTCTCGTTTTCATCAGGGAAATTTTAGTCTAATTTTTCTCATGCGATTTTAATTGTTACGTCTTCCGATCATTTTGAAGCGACAGCTGTTGCCATCTTTGTTTTTCGTCACCGTGACAACCACCACAGAACCACCCCCTCTGCTCCTGCTCACCTGACATCATCACTCACATGCCGACGCCACTCCCGTGTTCCCTTACATAACATCTGGCTTCAGCGTCAGATAACGTCGTAAAACTTTATCAGTGAACGGCCAGAGGAAGGTGACAGCCGTCGCTACTCCTGGAACTTACTCACACCTTCTGATAGCAACATGAAAAAGACAGCTGACTGAAAATAACGTAGGTAAATTCAATATCAACAGTAGTGCAGCAGGTCAAGCAGCTAAATCCAGAAATATAATGTGTTTGTCTTAGTTCTTGTTTTCAAAGGTTCATCATCTTCCACAGAGAGAGTGTCCACCTCTGTATCTGGCTGCCACGTCCCTTCTTGTTGATGCCTCTTCTGATGAGAGCCGTTCCAGACTCTGCCTCGTCTCTCACGGGCCCTGCAGCTTTCAGGCGTGTGAAGCTTTGAGACAGTAATTTACAAGCTCAGCTTTGAATCGGCATATATATTTTTTCTGCCATTGCGGCTACACTGCTGGGCAACAAAACTAGTTCGTTTCCCGAGGGATCTGTGTCCATGCGTTGTTTTCTTTTTACCCACAGTGACAGTGACGTTGTGAGTCCGTCTGTCGGATCTTTGTCTGTGTGAAAGCGTCACAACCTGCAAGATACAGCCACGAAACTTTACAGGTGTGTAGCTGAGATCAAAACGGATAATGTAGTAAAAGCTACATTATTACATGACTCCGGGCTTGGACTCCCGGGTCAGACTGTCAACGTGTCACGGCCGATGGTCTGCAGTTCCTCCGGTCTGTGCTCGCTCGTAAAGAAGGGTCCGCTTGTGATGCAAACTTTTTCAGTCGAGTCGAAACATTTCAACTTACCCGAATTTGTGCTGCTCACAGCAAACCTGCATCCACTCACTTCTTTTTTGAGCCTTCATCATTGCACAACACATTTACTTTAGTGCAAATGCTGAGTTTTGGAATAAAGGTATCTCTCAAAACCACAGTCTTGCTCCTTGAATATGTCTGAGGGAGCTCAGGGGATATATGGTGTAAATAAATACATATTTTTGTGGAGGCATGCAGAGGACAGCAGCCTTCAGCTCAGACCGAACCAATCATCAGCTTTTCTGCATCACAGGACTGTTTAGAGCAGAATTTATTTTCAGTCCGATCAAACCAGAATCACTGATACTGATACCGATAATTTGTATTATTAAGAGTGGCTTATGTACTTTCAGGCAGGGGGAGAGCAGTGTCATGATTTATGAGGTCTATGTATCATCAGTTGGCTAATGTTTAATACATTTCAATGACCAATTAATGATTTGGCAAAAGTTAGCAATCATTTTAAGGAGTTGCGAGAATTTATAAGAAGAACAGCAGTGAAGAACCAAAGAGCGCACTGACAGTTTTTCTCTGAAATGAGTCCAACATAGAAAAACAGAGAAGCTGGGACTGGTATCAATCCTTCTGAGGCTGGAATTGATCTTCAAAAATGAGACGTAGCGTCGATATTTTCAGGATCGATTCGCCCACCTCTGCGCAGTGGAAGTTACAGTAATTCGATGGTATTTTCTATTTTCCCGCTCAGACAAGAAACCCTGTGAATCTCCAGTATCACCTGAACTAGCTAGCTGACGTGAAGCATCAGTATTTGACTGAATCAAGACTGAAATCAAGAGAAGTGAACACTGAGATTGATCCAACTCTCTGTCTCTTCTCACCTGGTCGTGTCCCTTCTTTTTCTTCTTCTTCTTGCCCCAGCATCCGGAGCTCTCTGCATCCTTCCCGCCGGTGTCACATAACAGACCGTCCAGCTCCTCCGACCCCCCCTGCTGGCTGTGAGATGTCTCTGCGGCCAGACGGTACGACAAGTTCCTCAGGATGCACACACAGTTCTCCACGGTCTGACGGAGGGAGGGCGAGAAAAGAAGAGGAGAGGAGAGGAGAGGAGAGAGATCGAGATGAAAAGGAAAGAAGTGTGGAGAAAAACAGACGTAGAGATGAAGGAGGGACAGATGGCGAACAGACAAACACACTTACAACGATACAGTACACACATATGCACACACACACACAAACTATACAACGATACTGCGCAGTGCAGACTGTTTATACATTTCATAAACCCACCAAATATATACACACATAGACTTACACACATGATGTGTGCGTAGTATAGACACACACACACACACACACGCACACACACTAATCCTATTGTTGTTGGTGGCTGTGCAGTCACAGACTTTGAACTTGTGAAGGATTTCTGCGGATTAAGAACTTCACGTCTCCTTGTGAAGAGCCTCCACTCAACACACCAACACACACCCATGCACGCCGGCGACACTCACACACATCGAACACACATTTACACAGGACGCACATACACCACACAGGCACATGCACATGGATGCTCACAGGCTCACATAAAAGCACACACACACACACTCTCTCTCTCTAGTGATGTTTCTGTGTCACTGGCCATCTGTGTTGAGTAATATATTGTACACTGTAAAATAAAATGACAGGATAAGGCAGCTCGTGTATTTTTGCATATGCACAACTATTTGCTTTAGTCTTGTATTTTTAATTATTTTGATTATGTAGTTTATATAATGTAAATACTGTAGGTCTAAAAACAAAACAAATTAACGTTAATGTTTTTTTACAGTGTGTAGTTTGTGGCCTGCAAGCCACGGTCATTAACATACAAACCGCAGGCAAACAACTTATAGAAATTAACATACATATACAGTGTACACAGAAACTCAGCAAAGGCAAAGATAACTGATGCAAAGTTATGTAAATGATAGATAATCTTTACATTGTAATCATCATGAAACATGTTTGCAAAGGAAAATCAAACACTTGTATTTGAGCTCTTGAACACAAACATTCAGACACATACACACACACATCACTTCTATCATTGTATGCATGTTTGTGTGTGTGTGTGTGTGTGTGTGTGTGTGTGTGTGTGTGTGTGTGTGTGAGTTACCTTGCTGTCAATCTCACTGCTTCCCAGAGCAGTCTGGATGACGTAGAGCAGAGCGTCTGTCAGGCCCTCACACTCCCTCATCCTCCTGCGGGCCTCCTCACCTGCCGAACTCACATTCCTGTTACACACACACACACACACACACCTTTTTGTAATACACAGTACTTAAAATCTTCCAGTAGTTTTAAGAGAGCACACGTGTATGTTGAAGCATATACAGTACATATGGGCTCGTCTGTGTGACGGAGAGGAGAGAGGAAAAGTTGTTTATACGCCAGATTATTAAAGATGGCGCGGAGATGCTCGTGCCCTCGGTGTCTGTGAGAAACGGCACCATCGCTGCCAAAACTCCATTAGTCGCATTTGCTTTCCCAGGTCTTTAATAACAATTATCCTCATTTTAGCCTCAAGCAAATTTGTGCAATATGACACATTTCAAGACATTTTTATCACACAAATGAACAACAAATACAGAATTACACATAATCATCGTTCATCTGCTTATACATGTCTCAGCACTCCACTGGCCTTTATTTGGCTTTTTCCTGTCATGACGAGTGTTATCATGAGGCGCTGTGGAGACCGCAAGTTTTAAATGAGTTTGTCTGTCAGTGAGGCGATGTCGACGAGCGTGACCGAAGGTTAGCGTGTCACATTCAGAACGTCACTGGTGGCTTCATTAACACTTGACACAAACAAACACATGAGCGACTGAGAGGAGGAGGACCGCCGAAAAATATACTCAAGGCAAACATTTGCACACTGTAGCATTTTAATGGCTATATTAGTGCTGAGACGCTGACCCGAACCGTAACCCCTGTAATCAAACAACACCGTTAACAGGAAGACTGACAGTCTCTCCTGGCCTCACACGCAAAATCACATTTTACATTGTGTGATAATTCTGCATAAGGTTCCAGTGGAGTAGCAGATATTTATTCCAGACCTATGAATCACCGCCCACATCTGATTAAAATAGGTGCTAATTGTTATTTCCAGTTGGAGAAGCAATTGGCCGATAAGAGCTTTGTAGGCAGGGATTAAGATAGGGGACGTTCTCTTCCTACATAGCTAGCCGGCTACATGCTACGCACAGTGTTGTCATGTAAGCGGCAGAAAAATGGCAGACGAAAGTGAAAAGTAGCCGAACAGTTGGTTGTAAGTCTACTCACCAAAATAACAGGTCTTAAATTTACTTATTTCTTCGATTATCATGTAAGACGTTAAGTTAGCTATGTGTAGCAACAGCTGTCAACTACTACTACTACTACTCAGGACAAATGAAAACCAAATGACCTCCCCTCCCAAATAGAAATGTTAGCTAACTTGAACACATCAGACTGAATGAATGAAGTGAAACGGGAGAAATCAGTCTTATTTGATCAGAAAATCAGATTTCCCTACAATAGTAAATGGTGGATGGAGCAAAAGGCCTTTGACACTAAAAGAATTTTCGAGGGACATTGACTCCTTGTAAAAAGCTGCTGCAATCAATATTCTTTTAGTAACTATTAACCAAATAACTTTATGACAGGGGTAATGATGACACGTACTGTCACATAACTGCAGTCCCCCCATCCCCAGAGAGCATTTTAGCCTCTTTTATCTAAAAGCCCAATTTACTGTTTGGTTCTTTTCGCACTTATAAAGCTCATTTCCAGGTGCAGCAGGCTGCTGTTTTCTGAGAAACAGCTTTGATAAAAACTAATGTACTCTACCTTCCCGACACTAAACAGCACACCCAAAAGAAATTAGCAACTACTGATGAACAGAGTGTGGCATTTAGCATCTCCAGGAACATGACTGCAAACGAACGTTAACGTTGCTGCTCGTCCATCTTTAATGTATATGTAGGCAACAGTTTGCTAGCATGTTAGCCATATCAGTTTTGTTTGCTAGCATGTTTGCCATATCAGTTTTGTTTGCTAACATGTTAGCCATATCAGTTTTGTTAGCTAACATGTTAGCCATATCAGTTTTGTTAGCTAGCATGTTAGCCATATCAGTTTGATTATCCCGTAAAATGTCAAATGTGCATGTGTGGTTTTCAGTTTGTTGTGGATCTCTGCCCCTAAGTGGCAAAATAAATAAATAAATGAATGAATGAATGAATGAATAAATAAGTAGTGCTAAGTAACAAGGATGGTGTTCATCTTTGCTACTGAAGGACCACAGGTGTCAAAGACAAATGATGCCAGTTTGAAATCACGTCAAGGTTTTTTTTTCTATCTGGACTAACCTGAGTCTGTTAAGGTCGCGTATTGAATGTACCGTCACAGTTTTAAATGAAGTGTGACCTTAAATGTGGATTATTTTAGTTTCAGTTTGTTTTACTCTGACCCTCAGTGGAGTCTTCGTTCTATTAAATTACATGAGCATCATGTTTTAATTATACAGTCAAATAACCACTGGAATCTTTTAAGGGTGTTGACAAGCTGTTGTGTTCTAGTCTGCAGGCCTTTAACTTGAGCCTTGCTGCAAGGTTACCTGAGTACACACACAAATCATGCATACACAATAGGGCACTGACTGAAGTTACCTGTACCGTGCACCACATGACTAAGGGCGCAAAAAGACTAACACAAAAATAAAAGCACTTGAATGATACTTTGAAACCACTTAATGTGCTTCTTTCTTTCACACATTTCCTTGATTTTGGTTACTACCTGTTAATGGATTCAATTCAATTAACCTCAGTAAATTTGGCATAATTAATCCCTCTGAAGCGTTCCCTTGCAAGGCAATGGGGCTGCAGATTATCTCTCATTTAGATCTTTCAGTGTGAAGAAGCTAAATAATGAGAGAGGGAGAGGAAAAGACATCACAACCACACTGCAGGAAAAAGGTTATGTGTCTACAAGGGGAGCTTTCAAACAGAAACAGAATTGGATTAATCCATAGTGTGCCGCTGCTGAGAGAAAAAGTGCACTGACAAAAATGTCAATCTTTTGGTAACAGCAGGGAGCGACTGTTTGTTTGTCATTAATTGTGTAATCAAAAGCAGAGTTCTGCTGGACGCCTCTGCGTGTGTGTGAATTAAGTTTTTGTCAGATTGAATTCTGAGAATTTTATCTCGTATATTCAAAGAAACAATCGAGCCACTTAATAAAATACACCAACTAATGTAAGATACAAGTGATTCAACCACTTCATGAAGACTTCAAAAATATTTGCTGTTAATGACTCCCTAGCTGTGTCTACATTCTCCACACAATAAAGAATTTATGATTCAACATATGTATGTTTTAGTATGTTCAATTTAGTATATGATGTGGTGTCAGGCTTGCAGACAATATGCAAGTGTGGAGCAAATTGGCCTCACATGTTCAAAGCTCTCCTGCACTCTTGGTTACCATAGAAACAACCTGGTCTGGGGACGATATGACGGACAGTGAAGGAGGACCTGATTTAAGGAAAATACAAATTTAAAAGGTTCTTTCTTTAGCCTTCATGACAAAATGCAAAAGCAAAAGACAACAACAAAAACAACATCTACCTAACGACACCTTACACAAACACATGGACGACTTGCATTGTTGGACCATTATCACCGTGGAAGAATTTACCTGCTACAGGACCCTGGGGCGTTAATAAGCCAATGTTACCCTCTGTTTCAACCCACTCTCTGTACACTGTGTACAGTTTTCTTTCATAGCACCCAGCGTGGCTTGTCATAAATGACTTATTGTACCCACTGGTTTTCCATATGGCTTTGAAAGAGGTATTAAATTGCTTTCTATTTGGTATTAAAAAGGTCTTTAAAAGTCTTAAATGATTTTGGTGCAGGAACCCTGGCTGAAATAAAGAGATTAATTAATCGCCAGGCTAGCTAGCTCTGAGAGTTCAGGCTCAGTGCTTCATGTAACATTAATTCTTTGCAATATAATTAATTACAGTGACCTGGACCCAGATAAGTTGCAGAAAATTGACAGATGGATTACCCAATTAAACAATAATTAATTTAACCTCATTCTTCTTTAAGTTGTATGCTCAGCTAGTCTTTACTGGATCTCATGGCTAACTAGCTAAACTGACCAGAGAAGAGACCTTAGATGCTGGTTGCTGGGAATACTGGTCCCATTGCCTTGACCATAGGTGGTACTGGCTCAGCTTTGGCAAACAGTGGCATACTGCTGCTTCTCTACTGGCAAGCATATGCTGGTTAAGCTACGCCCAGGAAGGTAATGGCACGGGAGGCCTGCATGCAGCTCTCACAGCTAGCTAGTCTGACAGCTAATCTCTTTATTTCAGCCAGGATTTCTGCAGTGTTCACCAAATTCATTTAGGACTTTTAAAGACCTTTCTTTAATACCAAATAGAAAGCAGTTTAATACCCTTTTCAAAGCCATATGGAAAACCAGTGGGAACAATAAGTTATATATGAATTACTTGATTACACACATTTTTTTTTTTTTTCAGTAATTAATGTAACATTAATTCCTGGACCCAGATAAGTGTCAGAAAATTGACAGATGGATTACCCAATTAAAAAATAATTACTTAAACTTCATTTAAATTTTTGCTAAAAATGACACTTTCCCATAAGGAGTAATATATAAGCTTCCTAGCCACTGCGGCTAGCATTAGCAACATAGTTTGCTACAGGTCTGATGGCACTGACTGAAACTCCTCAAAAAAGAATTAAACAGTCCCCAGCGCAGAAAGAGACAGTACTAAAATATATATATATATATATATATGGCAGCCAACTCAAGACCTTTGGAAATGAAATCTAAAACTTCTTACTTCCTTTTTGAGGGAGCTGACTTTAACTGACAACACTGTTAAGACCCTTATTTAGCACGCCAGCTAACGGCTACAGCTGCAGAGCCGCTTCTCTCCACGGAGTAAAGGGATTCCAGGTGTCTTTACACCTGCGGGAATAAAGATTTCAAGCAAAGACACGGACCCGGTCTGCTCTGCGCCTACATTTCAGTTAATAAAGCAGGACCCACCTCAAGGCCCTCGTCATGTCAGTTCATATTTTGATCTAGTCGTGCTGATTCTAAAGGTTACAACAACACCAACTGCCTTACTATACACTGGTTGCTGCTTTCCTCTTGTCGTTTTAGTGAGGCTGGGAGAGACGGATGCATTTACAGCTTTTAAATACAGTATCTGGCTGGTAGTAATGGTTCGGTGTTTCAGCTTGTAAACACAGTAAATAACAAGCTGGGCTTGAACTTGCTCCTCAGTAAATGCTGCTCCTTCTGCTGTCACTCCTGCAAATTCAATACAGATAATTCATGTTCAGCAGTGTAGCAGCACAAGTTTCTGTGCTTCCTGTTGGTTTGGCACGACAGCATTCGCACCACACACACACACACACACACACACACACACACACACACACACAAGCAGTGAAACAAGCAGCGGGTCAACAGAGGCAGAAGATGTGCATGTGGAAGTTAGAGACAGCGAGCCGGGGACAGGGCGAGACAGAAGAGGAAAAGGATAAAGGAGGGTTAATATGATTGAGAGAGAAAAGAAATGAAGTAATAGAATGAGATGGAGACGGAGCGAAGGAGGAGAGAGTGACTAAAGGGAAAAGAGGGTGAGAGAGAAAATAAGAAAAGTGAAGGGGATAATGGAAGATGGAAAAAGAGAGAGAGGGGGAGAGAGAGCAGGTGGCCGGCGCTATACCAAACCCGCCATGAAATATTCAATCTTTAATCAGACTCCCAGCATTCCCTAACGAGGCGTGAGAAAGATGAATTAGCCCTTCGAGTTTAGGGAGCTGATCCACACAAAGCTATCTCCTGCAACACACACTCTCTCACACACACACACACACACCCACACACACCCAGACTCACACACACATCACATCACAGCACCAGATGTGTGTGTTTTCACACACGTACAGTATTAGAGGCGAATAAAGCCTCTGTTAGCCTCCAATACGTGCAGTTTATTTTCACTGAGAGCAGGTGAGGATACATATTGCAGCTGAGATTAATGGCCACACACGTAGTTAGACAGAGGGACAAACAGAGAGATGGAGGCGCGCACATGCGCACACACACACACACACTCACACACACACACACACACACACACACACACAGGAAGCCAGACAAACTAGCAGACTGTCAACTCGTGCTGCACTTTTGTCACGTCTGCGAGAGCGAATGTCAAAATTTTCAATGAATGAAATGAATTGTAGCATAATTAAAGCAAATGTATTTGTTCTGTTTTATAACGTATAGTGACGGTTTGAAGGAATAATACGAGATAAATCTATTCGATGAGAGACAGATATATATATATAGAGACATAGAGTCAGTGTCTCAGGTTGAAGTTGTCATTAATCTGTCTGCAAGATGTGTTTTTTCTTTCTTGTGATGCTGAAATGTTTGATGAAGGGGAACCAATAGCACATCAAAAAAAGATGTGCGGTACACGGCCGACACGTCTCTGTTGGAAATATTTATGAGCTCAGACTCGACCTCAGAAAATTTCAGCACGCAGTCCTGAGCGAGTTTGGAGAGCGCCGCAGAAAAACAAATTTCACGTGCAAGAAATATCTAATGATTAGTTATATCTAGTTTTTAACGGCCCTCAAAAGCGATCATCTCATCATGGATTTCTTATCACCTTTACTGTCTGTCACGCTCTGATTGGTCAACTGTTTCTCTAACCTGTTAGTAACTTCCACCAATGAGCATTAAAGAAGACCCATTTGAATCGGTGACCAAATCTGAGTTGTGGTCGTCTGTGGCGATTCACAGGTGTGGAACCAGACTCTCACATGAACACAGTTCCTTTGTTTATGTTAATGTTGTCAGGTCTCTGTCAGTCAAATCTTACACAACTCTTATGGATGTTATTTTTTACAAACGTTAGCTTTGATTACCGTTTATTTGGTTATTAATAATTAATGTTACACAGAAATACTTAATGCGAAAGGAGGATTTAGAATTACAGACCCTGTACCGTCTTCCACTTTTCAATCTGTTACTACCCTGGGTCTGCAGTAAGGATAATGATACTACATACTGTAAACATTATTTTACAATTTAAAACAACCAATAAACCTTTATAAAATTCCACTTCTTGTAGGTCAACAAGCTGAAATAAAAATGTTCCCGTAGATTATAATAATAATAATAATGATGTAATCGTGGGTATGGTTGATACTTTGGTAGATTGCTTTCAGAGTAACTTCTATTGGATTGTGCTGAGGGAGAGAGTGAAGGAGGTCTGCGAAGAACAACCTTTACGGCAGATGGCACGAAACACAAAACAATATTATGATGGATTTTTCTGCAGAAGATCTCCGGAGAAGTTGATGCTTCTATACACTGCTATCAGAGCCGTACAGCGTTTTTATTTAATTTTACAGAATGGAGAACTGCAAGGGACGGCTGTGTCTCTGAGTCACAGTTAACACACATGCTCGCTCGCTCTCTCTCTCTCTCTCACACACACACACACACTCAGACACTTTGCTTAATTATGCTGTTTAAAAGGCAGATGATGTATTAGTTCGTGAGGTCAGTCTGACACCAACCGCTATCAAACATGCCTCCATTATCCCCGCTTCTTATCCTCGTTACATTCATAATTAGCAGGAACGAGTAAAGTCAATTAATACCCTCAACAAACACAAATAAGCTAATAATGGACATACTTATACGTCTTAGGTAAGACGTTGATGTATTTGTGAGGAAATAAGTGATAAGCTGCACTTTAATGCAATTAATCAGAGTTCAAAAACGATATGTAGCTTATTATTAAGTTAAACTGAATGTATAATATAGTTGATATGATGCTAACGACTGTGTGTATATGACAGGGGTCATTCACAGTGACATCAGTGAGTATTTTGGCATTTTTCACCTCATTATTTTTGATTTTCAGGTGCACAAAGTTGTTGTTTCCAGCTCTCATTAGCACCATTCTCTCACAGAGAAGATAAAGCCACCACCTGCCCAGCACCAAACATTTGACACACACACACACACAGTTGGCGACAAGCTGCTGAAACACAGTCATATAATTCAGCACGATGAAGATATTCCTCTCAGGAAATACGCTCGATCTGTAGAACTGGCAAGTGTTTGCTTCCATTTGTTTTTTTTTTTTGCCATAGTACGTTTAGTATAACTGTTGTCATTGTTGTGTTTACAGCTTGCTGCCAAATAAAATCAGTGTTAGCATAACTCTGAAGGTTTTAAAAGATGATGTATCGGGGAGATTGGCTCGTTGCTGCGAGCCAAGTTACAGGAAATACAGTCACATTCTCCGTTTACTGAGTTACAGCACTGAGATAAGGACCAGAAGTGTTTTAGCAGAACATTACGATGTCACAGTGAAGTTGACCTTTGACCTTTTGATTATGAAATGTCATCCTGTTAGACACTTAAACTGTGTCATAATTAGTGTATGAATTCATGAATTATGGCAACAGAAAAACAAAAAAAAAACAAAACATGTTTTGTGAGGTCAGTGACCTTTGACCTTTGACCACCAAAATCATAATCAGTTCAGCATGAGAAACAGATAACCCATTAATGTCACACACAAAATACACACTCAGTATCATGGCGTTAGTCTACGCTACTGAAATAAAAGTTCATCACAATGTAATTCCATAGATCACAGTCCCAAACCTGGCCTACATTTAAATGTATTGATTTTATTTTTAATATCTAAATCAACTGAAAACATAGGATTCAGCACTAAATGGTAAAGCCACTGGTTGTTTCTTTTATTTATTTTTTATATCCAACGTGCCGGAGCAGAAGAGCCAAAACAAACAAGAAAAAAAAAATATGTGTCAGTCCCACTACTTCCACTTTGCACTGTATGACTAGCATCATAGCATCATGTCTCAAGTGAGAAAATGAAAAGGCTCAGCAGCTCCAAAGCCAAACGGTGAGTCATCTTAAACGTAGCTGAGTCTGTCACTTCTCTGTGTGCACGGAGGCAGAAACAACACAGGATACAGACTGCTTTGAGCGAACAGAGACTTGTGGTTGTTAATAGCAGACTGTGAACATCTCTGTAAAAGTGAGTGAATATGTCTCTATGCTGTTGGTAGTTTAGCTGATGCATACTGAATATGAAGCTAATAGTGGGTGATTTTAAAATGTGTGATCTTTGTCGTCTTTATGTTTGATTAAAAACAGAGCGGGAACAAAAACAGCGGGAGAGACGGACAGAGACACTGACCGGAGGCAGCCTGTGGCGTTGCGGAGGACCTGGGAGGAGTGAAGGTGCAGCTTGCGGTCCTCCTGCGTATGCGGGGAGGTGTCCCAGCCCGAGTGAGGGATGATCACGGCATTGGTCAGCACGGCCAGGGCGTCCTGGATGATGGGCATCTTCAGGGCGTCGCACGACGACAGGTTCCACAAAACACCTGCGGAGGACGGCAGGGAGGCGGGAAGTGAACAAAAACAGATGCAGGAGGCAGACAGGAAGAGAGGCGCAAAGACAACTGAAATATTTAGCAGCTTTTAGCGAGCAGCAAAAAGGAAGACAAAACAACCGCTGCAATGGCATGTTCTCAAAATGAGTAAAACAGGCTTTTTTCATTGAAAACTTATTGACATGTCACAGTGGGAAAAGCACAGGTGTAAATAATAACATTAATTATGGCTGAATTCCATTTAGCTGCTTCAGTTTCAGGCCCTTGATGTTGTGTGTGCTGACTCCCGGGACTGGGAAACCTGAATCAAACGGCAGCAATCATTAATGTTATTAGTAACACAGAGAGTGGATTAACAACCAGGCAAATTGGACAAACACCCAGGGGTCCTGGAGCCACAAGCCCCCCCCCCCCATATATTGAGTTAGAAGTTTATTTTTATTATAATTTACATAAATACTCTTATTTTGATTGAATCTATATCCTGATAGTGCTCTTAATTTGTAGGAACAAATTTAGACGCTCAACAAAAGCAGGAAAAATGTTGATCTTGAATTAGAAATCAAAGACAGAAGCGTCAGTGCGACAATGAATTAAAATCCTTCACGTATGTGACTTACAGATTTTTTTAAAGCTCGCGCGCTCGTCAGGCGCCACAAGGTTTAGGCTTCTCTCGTGAGGGTGGATTTGGTCGCCAGATATCACGGCGCTGAGAGACAGCGGTCATGGAGGTTAATAAGAACCAGCCTGCTGTTGTTTGTCAGGCATGAGAAGAGACTACAGGGTTTCCTGGGGGAACCTGGATCGAAACACGTGCATCGTCATAAGGAGGAACAGAAGTCACCAGAATCGCCGCAGCACCCTCCTGCTTGAGGGACGAAGGACATTGCTCATGCAGACCTCAAACTGGACACAATAATGGTTGTTGTGGCGCCGGCGGCGACCACTTAAAGTGAAGCTGATTGACTTTGGCCTGGCCTGTCACGAGTCTGCTGCTCGGCCCGGCGTCTGCTACAAAGCACCAGAGGTCATTCTGCACGCTCCCCTCACAGAGAGACACTGATATGTTGCGTAGCTGCAGAAGTGGCGGCTGGATACGCGATCTATCAAAGTGAGGCCGATTATGACACGCTGTTTATTTATCGTGGACCCTCTCGGGGGTCAACCAGCTTGATCGTGGCATACTTGCACCAACAGAGGAACAGTCAGCAAAACCGAAGTGTTGACGACCTTCAGCTGCTGATGGTGATGAACTGGGGGCAGCGGAGTGACCGCCGTCTATTTGCGGACACGGTTGCAACATGAAACATGTGGAGGACCCATCACGCTGCTGAGTTTGCATTTCAGTTGTGTTCCTCTGAAAGTAGCAGCTAGCAAGCTAAGCTAACTAGCCTCCACTCTGAGTGAAAACTGGTTTTGTAATCTTGGTAACAGCGCTGATTCCAACAGACATTAGCCGTGGTTCGTGTTTTGTCGACAGCAGCTCCTGCACACTCAGCGCCGTGTTCGTCCCAGATGATTATACAGAGGGTTGAATTAGCAGCAGCTGTTTCATGGGTCCAGATACGGTGACAGCAAATGACCAGACTGTCAAAACTCACAGCAGTCTGCAGTCCTGTAACCACGGCTCACATTTTCTCCCGGGGGCTTAATCTGGCTCTGTGTAACACCTGGTTCCACGGCCCGAATCTGGCCCGTGTACAGCGTGATTGTCGGATGCTACTTCCACATCTGGACCAATTCTGGCGCAGGCACAAGAACATCTTCCGGCTGTCAGTCAACACCGCAGGATAACAGCCAGAACCTGCCCAGATGTGGAAGTATTTGGGCCAGACACGGGCCGAGGACCCGGGCATATGTCGGGCCAGAAGTTTTTATTTTGCTATCTGGGGAAGACAGGGCAGACGCACACACAACAAATACACACACACACACACACACACACACACACACACACACAACCTGCCAATTAGCTCCCTGCATCTCGCACAGGTGTGACGCATTTCAAACGTTCTTCTAATATTTCAAAACATAACCTTTCATTTATTGCTCCAGGTTGCCACGGTGCCGCTGTAATTAATAGATAACGAGGTAAAACAAATTGAAAGAAGAACCGAAAGCAGTAAATCACTTAGACAACATTCCACCGCGCCTCTCTCTTCTTCTTAATCCTCACCTGAATTCAACACACAGTGACCAGCCAACCAAGGAAATGGAGTGAGTTGTGTCTTTCCTATTGCTGTTTTTTACCATTCACCACAAACACACGCACACATGCACACACACACACGCACACACACACGGACACACACACACACACACACACACACACACACACACACACGCACACACACACGGACAAAGCTCTCTGTTTGAGCCTTTTCCAGAAAAGGACAGTGAAGATAAGAGGCAAATAATCATCACATTTTTCTGCAAACACTTTGATTTCTTGAGTAGTTTTACACACGCACGCACACACGCACGCACACACACACAATAACCTTGAGGATCTACACAACACATCATAATTCTTGTTGACCTTCTTCCTGCGAAGTGTCTACGTCCTAATCTATGTACTCGTATAATTATATGTTTGTGGATCTGCGAGTGTCCACCCCTGCTCGTATCTGCACTTATCTACCCCGTCCTTTGTTGTAATTACAGCTGTAGTAGTGGTAAAACATCCTATCCTTACATCTGTGTGTGTGTGTGTGTGTGTGTGTGTTTGGAATATGGCGTCCTCTCTTTAGCGCTGCGCTGTTCACCCTTGGCTGAACAGCGACTGTGTAATTACAGCCTCCGTTATCTGTCTTCGTGGGTTTGTATGAATTTGTTGTGTGTGTGTGTGTGTGTGTGTGTGTGTGTGGGTGTGTGTGTGTGTGTGTGGGTGTGTGTGTGTGTGTGTGGGTGTGTGTGTGTGTGTGTGGGTGTGTGTGTGTGTGTGTGTACATGTATTTGTGTTGTTCGTGTGCGTCTTAGCCCCCTCGACAGATCAGTCTTTGCTCCGTCAGTGTTTGGACTCGCGTGTGTTTATGCGGAGCGTCGAGAGCGGCGGTGTCTGTTTGTGGTCAGGAGCAGTTTCTAAATGACCAGCCTCTGGCCTCGTGGCGGTAATTAGCCGGGACCGTCGTGTCAGCAGAAGTGTCTTCTCTCCGTCTCGTCTTATCTCCTGCTCAAGAGGCCGCAGAAGGCGTGCTGGGTTTTTTTTGATAACTTTGACATTCAACGTGACACGTAATAATACGGACCGACCTTGAATTCCACATTTACGCATCAGCAAATAAAATACTCCAATGTGAACTAATGTCACATGGAACATTTCGTCTGCTCTCTGACCTAGTGTTATATGAGAAGCTAAACTTTCATCTCTGTGCATTAGTCGTTAGCTTTGAGATTTAGCCCAACGTTAGCATGAAACGGCGAAGAAATACAACAGCAGCAGCTGAGACAGATTAACTGTATCACCGTCCAGACATGTGCACGGCAGAATGAAGTTGTGTTGCATCCGTCTCACAAATATAAAAATATTATAATTATAATAAGTTAATTTATAAATATATTTTACAGACGGACAGGAATACTGCACACAATTAAATGTAATTAAAAGTTGTAGACAGTAGGTGCTATGGAGGCATGTGCTCTGTGGAGTAATTAGGATATTTTTTTTCCTAGAACATCATGTTGCTGTTATTATTATTATTATTTTATTTTTTAACTGTAATTGCATTTTCACACACAACCGAAGAAAATGTGCCGGTTTGTAATTTGGGGCGAACCAGGCATTAAAACTTTCTAACAGTAGAAAAAGGGACACAGTGTGACTGCAGCATAAACACCAGGATGCCGCTCACAGTGCAGCGATTACCTGGATCCTTTAACCAGATCTGCGCCAATTTTTAAGGAGTTCTTCTCTGGCTCAGGCGCCGTCCCTGCACCAAGTTTGGTTTAAATCACTTCAGTACTTTTTGCATAATCCTGCTGACAAACCAACCAACGGGTGAAAACACAACCATAAATCTTGCATGGATATGTGTTTCTGAATTTTTAAGATGCTGATTACAAACACCAGAGAAGTTTACTGTGATGAACATAATGAAGCTCATCCTGCAGAATCTGAATAAAAATGACTAAATAATGTATTTGACGTCCTGCGGCTAAACTGTTGGAGCTCAGCGTGAAAAACTCCATTGTTATGAAACTCTTCTTCACACGTTAGCTGCATGCTAACGATAGGTCCGTCTAATTTTGCTGATTTCATTTCTGGTCATATTAGAAAAGTCAAACAGCCATTAAAAAATGAACAATTGCTCGTCAGTCAGACAATATAAATATCCATTATTACCTCATCTGACTAAGTGGCGTCTACAAAACAGTGTTGTTGCAGTTGCTTTCAGTATTGCAGAGTGAGTGTGGAGGAGTTTGTGCATGTTATGTGTCAGTCGCACTGATGTGATAACCATACACAGTATATGCCAGAGCGTGATGTATGACGCATGATGTCATCCTGCAGCTGCTGGAGTAAAGGCAGCTGTTTCCCAGCATCACTTCCTGCTGTGCAGAGTATGACATCATCTGCCAGAGGTGAAAGGCAGTGGGATTTATTTTTTATTTTTTTATCTTTGATCTGAAACACACTCACTCGCACACACACACTCTCACACTCACACTCACTCACACACACACACACACACACACACACACACACACACACACACACACACACACATACATGAGCGTGTGCCCAAAGAAAGGGGTTAATTGCCTAAGCCTTACATCATGAGTGGCAGCAGGAGGTTATGAATGCACCGTTATATGGAGGGAGGGGAAATGAATATGTTGGCTATCTCTCTTTGTCTCTGAAGCCATTTCCCATCTCTCATTTTCACTTCACTTTCATTCCCCCGTCGTATTTCTCTCTCCTGCGACACTGCAGCTCATCTTTTTTTTTTTGTTT